AGATAATTTGCTTATCTGTTACTTGTCATTGTGGGAGGTCTGTAAAAATCGGTACGACAAGATTTTCAAAATAGAACATGTCCTATCCCTTACATCTCGACATAAAGGTTTCCGAAATCAAGAAATAGTAGCCTTTACACATTAAGATTTGTCTGTACATCTTAGTTTTAATTGGTGTTGTACTTCAAAATCCTACCGTCTGTTGAGGCCTTTAGGGAAAAGAGATTTTCAAATGTGCTGATGTTTATTCTCGTTTTATAATTTAAATTAAACTTGCAAAGATAAAAAAAATAAAACTTAATTCCGAAAATCCTGCATGGGGGTTTCAAATTTCCTGAGGTTAATGAAAAACTTCTATGTCAGAAATAAAAGCTTAAAGCAAGTGTTTCTTTTTTGATCCGTCAGAATCAGTGATTTAAATATTTCAGGTTTAATATGAAAATTGAATTCTGCTTTCAGTCAGAGGTAAGGCGAGTGGGAGATATTGCACATTCTATATATAATATATTTCCTGAAAAGACTAAAACAAACGTGAAAGTTTTTTCGGCAATTTAATCTTATTGTAACAATCGATTCAACAGGTCTTCCCTTTTCACATTGATACAACAATGATACTGCAAAAATACTGCTTAAAAAATTGAAACAAGCATTACGCTCCAAAATATTCAGATGCTATAAAACATCAAGCAACACTTATTGATATTTATTTTGATTAGCAACGTCTCTGGTGTCAGTTTAATTACGAGTATCATCCAATTTTTCTGTACTTTCTGATTTCTAAATGTCACTCATATTTTAAATTAAAGTTCAGCCACGCATGTTTTGAAGTACTGAAATACCTTACGTAATACACCGATCCTGTATGCACGAATGTTGTACAGACCTTTTTACAATACGATTTTCCATAGCAACGAATGTTGCATTTCGCACATGCGCATTCTGCGTAGGGCAAAAAGCAATAATGATGTCTACAGTTTATCGTACTTTAAGGCTTTAATAGATGCGATTTCATGTTATGTCACCCAAAAAATATTAAAACTGGGATGACTTAAGGCGGTAAGTACTGAAAACGTGAATTTATTTTTTAACAGATCTACGAAAATGTGCGGGAGTAATAATTCAATGGTCAAAAAGGGCACACACGTGTCTTTGTTTAAGGTATCATTAGACGACTTTTCCATCAGTAATTTAAATTGAAACAGCAGGGTGTTAAAGATAAAATTTTATTACCCCTGTATTACATAATATTACACAATTTGTATTGTACACTCCTTTGAATAACTGGATTGGTCAGGCGGCAAGTGTCAAACAGATTGGCACGCGAACGTTTGTTCATTCAACCGGGACGTTTAAATATCATGATATAGTTAATCAGTTACGCTTATTAAAATGGTAATTTATGTAACTTTTAAATATACCGATCAATGTTTATGGATTTTGAGAAGAGAAAAATTGTGTGACGTTCATTATTAAAAATAACATCTATTACCAAGAAGCGGATAAAATGTGTGTTATATCTTCATCTGTGTCATAAGTTTTATAAGAAATTGGTAAATGTAATTATTATGTGCACTGCAGTACCATTCCCTTTTACTTTGACATATGAAATAAGTATAATCATATTATTCACGTAAATTACCAACAATTTTGATGTGAAATACGTAAAAATATGGATTTAAAACATTATAATTAACACTGTTTTTAACTTATATCTAAGGACTTTGTTCACATGTTAACGTTTTAAGGACAGCAAAGTACATATAGACTTTGTCTCCAACTACCATCAAAGGCATCCTTCATTTGTCTAAATCTAATATTTGTACAGATATATTTAACAAGAACATCGTAGAATTGTGCCTAGTATTTGTCAGATTGCATTAATTTTGTATCATTTGACCCTAACCGATGTGGGCATCGGTTCTTTCATTTGAGGAAGCTATCCATTTTGCTGACTGAACGTGTATGATTCTACTCAGGCACCCGTTTGTGCATGAAATAATACAGGCACCAGTTAAGCTGGAAATTAGCCATATGACCTTTACTGTGTCAGTGCAACTTAAAACCAAGCATATTGCCATCTACGCTTACAAGTATTCTCAAAACAAAAATGTGTCCGTATTACCTGCATAAGCTCACTAGAAATGCTTTACTTTTATACATTCTTTTTGTACGAATCAATTTTAATTTGTCTCGAAATGTCCAATTCATAAAACCGTGACGTTTTCTTGCAGATATGCATTAGCAGGTCCATACGTAGAATTATATCCAACACCATTTCTCTTGTGCAAAAATTCAAGGAAAACTGTTAAATTAGGAAAGTCCCTATTTTATAGATATTCATACAAATATATAATTTTGATGTACAATTACAAAGCAATTTTTCGTATGGAAAACTCTTATTTCGGGAAAAAAATAGTTTGTCCATGAACATTCCTAGACATAGATATTACATTCTTTAGACAGATTTTACGAATATCATACGAATCAAGAAACAAATTAATGCACGTGTAAAACAATTTGCCAGATTTAATTATGATCAGTTTCCTGTTAAAGATTATATCGCTCATGTTTACTTGAATGATGCCAAAGTTTCCTCGTCAGTATGAACTATTTTTATCTACATGCAAGTGATCCTGTAACGAAGAGATGTATCACACGTGACACGTCAATAAGCAAATGATGAGCATTATAATAGAATGTAAAACATTTAATGAATCTAATGTTAGGAAATTATCTTGTCTTGATTTTTACATTCCAATGTATCTATTCAATTTTTATATTTCACTCCGTGCCCAACAAATTGTTTATACTGACATTAATTTGAAAGCACCACAGAAAATTAAAAACGGTCTGAAAATTATCAAAATAACTAGATATATAAAAGATAAAACTTAAGTGATACATCGGTGCTTCACTCAGGTGTATTCCTCAATCACTTCACCAATACAATAAATTTACAGGTCCGATAATGGTATGGTTTTGGCATTTTAAGAATATTTGCAAAATTTGAATATAGTTTTTATCTAAAAAAAATCGTTATTATTATGATATACCTGACAGCATTTGTTAGATTAAAAGTATCAATGTTGAAACCGGTAGATGGGTAAAATTTCCTATGCCCCGCTTGTCAAAAACTTGAAGATGAATTCCACTTATTATTTGAATGAAAATTATATTATTACATAGGAAGCGATTAACAAATTATTAATATGTAATAAACCCCAATATGTACATTTAATTATTTCTCATCCGTACCAATTGTTAGATATGTTTTAAACTACAAAGCCGTGGAAATTCCAATGGGGATTACAATAAAAACAAAGTATTACACAATCTCAAAATGTTATTAATTCAGTCCCTTTTTGTAGATTTTAAGCGATTTTATGTGTACACTATCAGAAATATGTTCTTACTATCAAACTTTATTAAGTAAGCTTTGTTAAAATGGTGGTTTAGTTGTATAGCTTTAAAAACTAAAGGGAAACAGCTCTTGGAAATCGCTGTACAATAATTGTCATGGTTATTCCCCTTGTATGTCATATATTTGATTTTGTATAATAAAATGATATTCTAAGGATTAATAAACACAATTACTCATGATTAAATTGAAACTCTTACTTTTGTCAGAGTTAAAAGCGTTTTTTTTTTTTTAAAATGATTATCCTGGGGGGGGGGGGGGGGGCAGTTCATTCATTTCTGTATCTACCGATTCATTTCCGTTAGCTATACCGATAGCTTCCATTGCGCACTTTCCAATTAAAGATCAGCGTTTTCTTACTTTAAGTTTAAATAAATTGCTGGGCAACAGAGATCTGCATTTAAAAGTAATTTCAAGAGTTTTTATAGAAGTATTTTATTTTTTGGATGCCCTGTCCGGTTGGTTGTCTGGTGCTTACCGATAGCGCGCTTACTTTCGAAAAATCATCCGAATCATTTACTTTTCATAGAAATTTTTCAAAATTGCTATCGTAAAATTGTAGTTATTACAATTATTAGTATGCCATGCAGGTTTTTTTTTAATCGCTCACGTCATTTTCCTCATGCAGAAAGTTGAATTCATTATATATTTTTAAAATTGATCATCCTATTTTCAGACTCAGGATATTCTTTATTTTGTCTATGAATACGGGATTTATTTTCATCGAGTAGTATGAAAAAAAATATTTCGTGAGTGGCGGTAGCCATGAGTGAAATGCGATAAATTTCATATCACGAGATGAAAAAAAGACCTGGATGATTATAAATCCGGTATTTATAGGGGAAAAAGAATATACTGAACCGCACAGAAAGCAGTGCGGCAAGACACCAGTTAAGATACGGAAAATATGTTTCACTGCAGTGAAAATTAATTTCTTTACAATGTAATTACGCAAACAACTCGTTCAATAAATTTAGTATTAAACATACATGTACACACATTTAATATATTTAATATATGCATTTTATTTCATCGATAGTTCATTTAAAAGTACGTAATAACGATGAATGATTTCATTGTTATTATGTGCAAAAAGTGGCCGTCTGGTGAAATTTGAGAACAATATCATAAAAAACGATTTAGAAAGGTGTTGCAGTGATGCGCTAGAAATGTTTTTTCAGCGCAGGTTTTTTTTAATGCGTTTATTTAAGGTCGCCGCCGGAAAGCCCATATGGGCGACAGTACACTCAAGTCGGGCCATCCTAGAGCGTCCCGCCGAGATTTTTTCGTCGATTTTTTTCCAGCTTTATTGGTGGAGGAAGATCCCAGGTGCCCCTTCGGGCATTATTTCAGGCACGGGCGGGCACCTGGGTAGAACCACCGACATTCCGTAAGCCAGCTGGATGGCTTCCTCACATGAAAGATTTCGACCCTAGTGAGGATCGAACCTACAGCGGTTAGGGACCTGTGATCTCAAATCAGCGACTTTAACCACTCGGCCACGGAGGCCCCTACAGCGCAGGTTACGTGTCACTCGAAATATAAGAAACAACCTTCAATTTTGAAGAAAAAAATACATGTATTGTAATTCAAATTGTTTATAATTTCTTCTATTTCTCTTTATAATTTACAATTAAAGGCAGTTTCCATTTCAAATTATCAAGTATAACAATTAATCACTACTTTTAACAATTAATCGTATAAATTTAATGGCTACTCCCAAATTCAAACATGGACGAGTTTTTAGACTTCATATCACTAGTGTCACCACCATGATATGACCGCACCTTCGAGTTTGGTGGCCGGAGACGATTCTGAACTTCCTGTTTTCTTTCCTCCATTTTCTTGACTTTTGCTTCATATTTCTCTCTAACTTCTCGCTCCTTTTGCTCTCTTCTCTGTAAAACAAGCAGACGTTTTTCTTCGGCCATTTTCGCTTTACGCGCCTTTTCTTGTAGCTTTTCTTCCTTCTTTATGTCCGCTAAAAGTTCCCTTAAATATGATGTATTAAAAATAACATTTAAAAAAGCATTTATTTTGCAGTTATCTGTCATATTTTAATACCGAGAAAGAGACCTGAAAATGTGTGTGTGTTTTTTTTTCTTTTTCGGGGCGGGGGGGGGGGGGGGCTTAAAAACAAAATTAATTATATACCCCATTCATTCACTCGCCCACGGACGCCCAAAGTGATCAGTATTTAGTAGAAAAGAAAATTTGAAAATTTTAATTATGATTTGTATCAATGTTTTACAAATAAATTTGACCCCTACAGTACAGTATGCAGAAATATAAATTTCCGGAAAAAAAAACAACCATGTATACACTGCAGAATATCAGCAGTTTTCCTACTTAATTAGAAATATACGATACAATACTGTACTGCCAAAAATTTCCTCATGCAGTTTTTGAACCTTCGACATTTTTGACAGGCTCCTCCGTCAAAAATACGTTGCCTCAGAAAAGAAATATTTGATTTTTAGATATGATTTTCAATAGATCCAGGTGTTTCTTGACCATTATCCCTGAAATTTATATTTTATACCCTCAAGCCTGACATAAGAAAATGTTCTACTTTTCTAAATAACGTAAACTAGCTCTACAGTACAGTGCAGTAGAGTAAATTGAATTCAATGATTCTTGATTTTTAAAGTTCTATGCTATGATTTTCATACCCCCCTCGGATGGCCATGATTCGTTACACAGAGCTAGTTTGATATACTCTGCTGCCATTTAATAATTCAAGCTTTCTATGTTGTTGAAGAACTTTGGGGATTGATCTACTTAAATTAATATTCAATTCAATGTTTAAAAATAGATATACAGTATCCATTTTTTTTCTTAACGAACATTTGACAAGACTTTGTGATATACACAGACATGGTGTTGACTCTGGTGGACACGGCTGGCAGGGGCGAATTCAAGGCATATTTCTGTACTTTAGTTAGAACAATCATGTTGATCTGTGCACATTACAGAAAATACAACTTGATACATTACAGCAAGTTTATGAAAAACGCAGAATCTACATGAATATCTGAATTAACTTTATGAATTGATCGAAACCTGAAAATCAACTGTTTGGTTGATTTATATTGGCAGAGATTTTAACCTTGACCATGGTTCTCTAGACCAGCTCTAGACCATGCAATATTAGGTAGAATTATAGTAACGTTAGTATCTAGAGTACAATAAAGCTTTCAAAGAAGATCTTTATAGCCTACCAACCTTTCTTCTGCTGTTGATCGAAGAGACGTCGACAAAGTACATTCTACATGCTTCTCACTCGATAAAGCTGGTTTGTTCTCGAAGCCATGACGTTTATTTTCACCACTACGGTTATTTTCCTCCACAGGGACGTAGAAAGCAAGGCCACTCTTTCCAAAATGTGGAGCAACGCAGCCATCATGAAGATGCAAAATGTCCTCTTGCTTAAGTTTTTTCAGACGCTTGAAATGTGGAGTGTGTTTCTCAGTAACTTCCTTTTTGTTTGAAAGGAGAGACAATTTACTTGACCCACATCCCATTTGAATTTTCTATATTGATGTTTCCGTAGACTTGCAACGCTTCTATCTCTGTTCGTGCTTACTAAAATAACATGTCCGGTATGTATGACGTCACTTTTAATAATGTTCGAAATAAGTGACGTCATATACGCATGCTATCACGTTCAGTAAAAAATATGTAACGCAGTGGCCTCCCTTAAAGAATCGTGTAGTTCGAATCAAAGGTGCTAGTGGCATTGATTAATTTGACCTAAAATGTGTAAGACTTTGTTATTAATGCAATAGATTATCCATAAAGATCTATTTAAAAAAATAAAAATATTTTTTTTTTATTATATACTTAGAAATAAAATATTGAGAAATGTTGATGAAATAAAATGCGTATTTTCCTTTTCCGTATTTTCACTGTAAAAATTTATTTTTCACTGCAGTGAAAAATATTTTCCGTATTTTCACTGGTATCTTGCTTTCTTTCTTTTAAATTCTGCCAGAACACAAAATTTAAGGGAAAGTCTTTCAAATTTTAATGTAAAAAAAAAGAAGAGAAAAATGTATATAATAAACAGAAAATTCAAGTTTTTTCTATAAATACATGATTTATTTTCATCTTGTGGCATGAAAATTACAATATTTTAGTCGTGGCTACCGCCACTCATGAAATATTTATTTTCATACCACTCGATGAAAATAAATCATGTATTCATAGAAAAAACTTGAATATCCTCTATAGATCTATACAGATTTTTTTCTTTCTTTTCTGATTTTTTTTAAATATACATGTAGAGTCTACTGTATGGATATTTTATTGCATAAATAACAAGGTTAAACACATTTAAGGTCAAATCAATGCCACGCGCACCTTTCTGGTCTATAGTGTTGCTGTCGTCATAATTGAAACTTATTTTAAATTTACGTAAATATATTTTGCTATATTTTGCCACGGTCTCTCCTAAAAATCACCCGCATGGTTTTATGAGATATTACATTTTGCTTTGGAAACCGATTATAATATATTTATTTTATATAAATGTTATTATTATTGAACTTCGTTTTTCTAACTTTGTATGTTATCCACAATAAATGGAGTTCAAATAGTGATTCGTTTGGGAACAATATAGCTTTAAATAAAAAAAAAAAACCTTCCCAAGCGGGGAATCGAACCCCGGCCGCCGCGGTGAGAGCGCGGAATCCTAACCACTAGACCACTTGGGAACATGGATATAAGGAAAACTAATATCGTATTTATTCCATTCATCTTATTTTTTATAAAACACGAGAACTTTCTTAACTATCCACGCAATCGCAACTACTCGGCCCTTTCCGTCAGTCTTAGGACGTTATTGGAGAGGTCATCAGACCTCTCCATAGTGTTCAGACTGATTGCTGGCGGCATCCATTTTTGCGTATCTGATTGCAGTGAATGAATCTCATTTTAAGCGTAAAATCATTAGGAGCAGTCTACAAAAATTGTTTTGCGCATGCCCCGTTTCAAAATACGGCTTAACTTAAACGAAAAATTAATATCGAAGTGAACAAATCGGTACATAGAAAAATCGGAAAATATCATTTATTTTCGTTACTTAACACTACGTTGATGTTTCATTCCGTTGAATCTTTTAAACTGTATAAATCGATTACCGTATTGTTTTCTATACTATTTCATGTTCTGATAAATAGTTACTGTAAACATTATAGCTACAATATCACATTGTACATGATATACCGCCTCCGTGGTCGTGGGGTTAGGGTTGATGACTTTTTATCAAGTTAACTCTCTGGCGTGGGTTCGATCCCCGAGAGATGCTTTTTTTGTTAGTTTAGCGTTGAGGAATGTTGTCTTGTACTGGTGTAACTCTCCATAGTTAGGAAACTACCCGCCTATATGACTAAAATACTGTTGGGAAAAGGCGTACAATGAAACAAACAACAAATAAACATATTATATGACCGAGTGAACCGTGTATTGAACCGGTATGTCTAAATAACGCAAAGGGAGATTTTTTGGCGCAAATGGCACACATTTTATCTCAAGTTTGATTTTCTTCTAATATTGTGGTTGGAGGCATGCAGCTTTATATACTGTTTATTCCAATAAACAGTATATAACAGTATAACAGTATATAACAGTATATACTGTTTATTCCAATCAAATGATATAAACATTTTTTATGCAAACCCTGGACTAAAATTGTTTGATTATCATACTTTATACCCGTTTTGGAAAATGTAGAGGAAATGTTTCCTTATATTTAACAAAACAGTGACCGAAAATTTGCTTATTGAACTTTACTAGAAACTTTTATTTTGATACTACTTTTTATATATAATTATATACTTTTTCTACAAAGGGAACTGAATTTAAAATACAAATTTTAAATGATATATATCATTTAATTTACATTAAGTAATTTTACAATTTTTTTGTAGAAAAGGTATCCCTAATGCGCCAAGAAAAAAAGTCCATTACCCCGGCATAATCTTTTAAAACATTAAAAAAGATGAAGTGTAAAACAAACTTTAATTGCAATATATAATATAAATTCTATTTTGTTTAATAATTGTAATTTATAACCATTCATTGTGTGTCTTTTATGCCATATAATATCCCCAAATATTTTCAAATTAAACAAATCTTCTACAGCAGCAAAAATACCTCTCGCATGCTTCTTTTTAAAGAAGCAAACTTGTTATAGATAATAGCCGAGGCAGTTCCGAATGCAACACATTGGTCACCAAGATGTTATATATAATAACCACTTTGATTCAAAATGATGTTTTTAATTATAACAAATGAAGTTGATTAACATAAACTAAGATCAACAGAATCTTAATTTATAGAACTGAACGAGTTGTTCTGATATTTTGTGACATTACAAAAAAATAGAAAAAGATATGACAATTAACAATAACATTATATTTATCATTATTTCGTTGAAACAGACGCCTAGTAAACTGATTAGAGTAAATCGCATTGGTTAATGAACTCTGCTGAAAAAGGAGAAGAGTTTATAACAATAGACTTGCTATATAGCTTATTTCATACGAAAACAAAATATTTTTTATTACAATATCTTTGCACATTTGAATTTCTAATGTTTTAAGTTTAATGATTTTATTGATGAGTTCTAAACTAAAGATAGAGGAGGATGTAGTAAGCAAGTCTACAAGATATAATAAGCCACGCCTTTAATATCAAATATCGTTATTGGTTAACTTGATGTTTGGGAGTTTATGAGTGTATACTTGGATGCAACACATATATATAATAAAATATATAAACCATCATTCGGGTCTGGTTTAGTTTGTGTGCTTGTAAGCCATCCAAATAGAAAATATAAATTTTACATTATATATATTTATTTTATATAGATGTTATTATTTTTGAACTTCTAACATTTCGTGGATGGTGTTATAAACGGTATGTTATCCACAATTAATGGATTCAGTTAGTGATTAGTTGTGATTTGTTTGTTTGGGAACAATATAGCTTTAAATAACAAAAAAAAAAAAGTCATCCCGAGCGGGGATTCGAACCCCGGCCGCCGCGGTCTAGACAGAAAGAAGAAAGTCAGAAATTAAGTATAAAGAAGGTAGACCGCGGAATCCTAACCACTAGACCACTCAGGAACATACTCTAGAGAAAACTAATATTGTATATAATATTCCAGTATGAACCGAAAGTAAAGTTAATCGAGTTAAATTACGTGAACATTCTTAACTATTCCTAGAAGGTGACTAATTGGTCAGCAGGATGTTATATATAACCACTTTTATTCAATGTGATGTTTTTAACCATAACAAATGAATTTAATTAACATAAACTAAGATCAATAGAATCTTATAGAACTGAACGAGTTATTCTGTTAATTTTAGTATCTAATCAAACGAACCGGAAAAAAACAAAATGGAAGATTTTGCAAACCCTGGAAATTTGACAGATCTAAATTTAGACATTTCAGCACAATTACGCAGCGAAATGCAGCCTTTATGTCAAAATTAAACTAAAGTTATGGCTTCGCAGTCCCAGGAAAATTGCCAATGGTTGTCTGTTACCGAAGAAACGTTGTTTCTGCACGATGGCTTGATGCGCGTAACAGATTTGGTGGAACTTCCAACTGATGTAAACAACGCTCAGGATTCGGAGAATGAAGTGATCTCGTTTGATTTGAAAAATCCTTCAGAATTGAGTGACTTATTGCTTGCTGTTTGTGGTACTCATAATAATGCATATGCCAAGCTTTTAGAATACAGATTAAATGCATTAAGAGGACTTTGGTGTGCTCAGAAGCAACTCTCTTTAGATGAAGAAAGTGAAAAAGAAAGTAACTGCACTGAAGAAACAATTGCTCTTTTAAAGAAACAAGGCTTATGGAAAGAACCAGAGCAGGCATCATTCTCTACGAGAGTCAGTGTCCTTTTGGTTTTGCCTCTTCTGCAGTCTCAAAGTCGCATTGACCCTAACCTGTGTGGTGTGACATCAGGGGTATTGCTTGGTTGCCTGAAGGATTGTTCTCCACTCAGTCTTGCTAAAGAGCCTGGTGATTGCTTGAAAGGCTTAGAGAATCTGTTATGCAGTTGGTTAGGAGAAAAAATTGAATCAGCTGATAGTTATGAAGTTGAAGATAAACTACAGAGGAAGACTATTGCATCTGCTTTGGTTGCGCTGGCTTGTGCAAGGTTGATAATATTTTCTTAACAATAAGAGTTTTTATTAAATGTCCGACAAGTTATTACCAACTTGATTAGTAGTCTGATGTCTGTCCAAGATTGATTGATATTTAAAGCAATTTGTGTCTGTCTGTCGCCTCTGGCTGAATAAAAGTCATGCGGTCTGAGATAAATCCCCTTACCATCAGTTCTCATGTCCAAATAAAATTCCAAGAAGCATATATGAATGATATGTTTTATAATCACGTCATCAAAATTTCATTTAGAAGCTACGTCATGGCTATTTTATTTCCACCAGGCTTCGCGAAAGTTGCCGGACCGTCGGACATGTCCAGCAAAAATCAGGCCGGTCCTATATTTTTTTTTGAGTTCCGGACCTTATGTCAGGTACGAATACCGGGATATATCCAAGACCGATCAAGACCGAGTTTTCTCCCTTGAATAAAAAAATGTAAAACGAGTTTTGATTTGCCGTTTCATTATAAGTGTCCGATACAAACGACTGTCAATAACCAAAATGTCGGTGTTACTACATCAGAGATCTGCCAAGAATTTGAAAGAACTGGGCCCACTTGGCCTGAAAATGATGGGCCATTTTTACCAAAGTATGGGCCTTGGGAAAATAAGTAAACATTGACCAAAATAACTGTTAAAAAGTTTGTAGATAATTGAATTTCCCTGGTATTGAACTTAAATCATATTTTATGACAAGTGGTTCACTTATAATTCAGTACTTAACCAATAATTAAAAATTATGCCTACATGGTAACTTGCTAACTAATATTAATTGCAGGCAAAATATTTTTTAAATAGCTGCTCAAAAATTTGATATGCAAATTTATTCACATAATTGCTGGTTCTTACTTGTAATGTCTTATATTGTGCATTATCCATTTAATTGTTTCTACTTTGCACCAAATGTCCCTTACCACTGTATATTGACGAATTTTATTGCCCCTTGTGTGCCTCTGTGTGAACAGCATACATCAAAGACATTTGCCGACAGACCTTTTGATCATGAAAAAAGTCATGCACAATGTTTCTCTGATTGGTTAATCACCCTGTCAAATATCCTGATGACGAAATATACATCTTTTTTTACACTTCATCAGCCAAAACTTGCGTGAACTTGAGTAACCTTAGGGTTGATCAAGTTAAACACCTGTCAGATTTTACTGTAACTTACAGCAACACTTTTTCAGTTACCAATAATCATTTTTAATATTAAGTAGTTGTATAATTTGTTTGTTTGTTTTATTGGATTAAATTTACGGTAGTAGAAATGAGTATCTGTGTGGGAAAGGGATTATGAGAAGAAATGCGGTAAGTAGATATCATGGACAAAAGCTATATGGGAATGGATAAACTCAAGAATATGCGTTAATTACAGGAGCATGGGTAACATGTTGCTGTTGGTACCAGTTTTGACTGGATGACTAAATAACCCAGCAGAGAAATCTTATAAGTCTGGCACAGATTTTAGATGCGCCCATGACCCTTTGCTGCCGATTTTCCTGCGCCATTCTCATTTTTAGCTCGACTATACGAAGTATATGGAGAGCTGTCCTACTCGCCCCGGCGATTTAAGATTAAAGTTTTGGTGCAGTAAAATATTTTTCATTATAACTTTGTCATTTCTTAAGGTATCAACTTCAAACTTCAAATATATGTTCCTTATCATCAACCACATCTTATGTGACAAGGTTCATAACTCTAGCACCAATATCTTCAGATTTATCTCCCCTTGAACTTAGAATTTTCCTTAAAAAATACAATTTTTTACTGATACTTCTTTATTTCTTAAGGGATCAACCTCATACTTCAAATATATGTACCTTATCATCATCCCCATCTTATGTGACAAGGTTTATAACTCTAGCACCAATATTTTTAGATTTATCTCCCCTTGAACTTAGAATTTTCCTCAAAAAATACTATGTCTTACTGTTTCTTCTTTATTTCTTATTGGATCAACCTCATACTTCAAATATATTTACGTTATCACCATCCCCATCTTATGTGACAAGGTTCATAACTCTAGCACCAATATTTTCAGATTTATCTCCCTTTGAACTTAGAATTTTCCATAAAAATATTATTTTTTACTGTTACTTATTTATTTCTAAAGGGATCAACTTCATACTTCAAATATATTTACGTTATCATCATCCACATCTTATTTGACAAGGTTCATAACTCTAGCACCAATATTGCAAGAATTATCTCCCACTAAATTTTGATTTTTTTACTAGAAAATGTTATTTTTTATTTTAACTTTTTTATTTTTAAAGGTATCTAACTCAAACTTCAAATACTTATTCCTTATCATCAGTTACATTTTATGTGACACTGTTCATACCTCTTGAAGCAATATTTACAGATTTATCTCTCTTTGAACTTAGGATTTTCTTTAAGAAATATAATGACTTCTTTTCTTTTTAAGGTATCTACTTAAAACTTCAAATATATATTTCTTGTCATTACACAAATGTTGTGTGGCAAGGTCCATAACTCTAGCATGACTATTTCTAGAATTATTCCCCTTGATCTTGGAATTTATGTTAACAAATGTTATTTTTTTACTCTAACTTAATACATAATTATACATAATTGATTTTTCTTTTATAGTTTTGTCCTCCTTACTGCGTCCAGTATTTTATTAGTCGAGCTTCGCTGTCTCCTGTGACAGCTCTTGCTTTAGCGCCAATGGCGCAAAATCGCGTCCTCGGCAGATCTCTGCTACATTATTACGCTGGCGCTACGCCCGGCAAAAATCGTAAACTATCCAATGAAGAAAAAAAAAGCGAAACAAAAGGAATACGAGTCCAGGCGCCCGCCGAGAAAATTTGGAAAAATGGCCGCTTTGATCATGAATGTTTTGATTTCCAAACAGAGTCCATCCACAAGTGCTTGAAACAAACTTTTAAAAGTTTTATATGGGCTATATACTATATATCTTTATATACATATATAGACTGGTTATGTAAAATATTTGAATATATGTGACTAGCGCCTGTGAGTCCATCAATCTGGATAAACTAATGTTTTATTTAAGGGAATAAAATTGTGTTGCAAATCTTTAAAAGTTGTTATGTCTTTAAAAAAAACACCAAGGTACTACCATATACATATATTTGTGGGAAAAATTCGGTCAGACAAAAGTTCTTTCGGTCAGACAAGAATTGAAAGTTTGTCTGACCGAATGTCAGGCAAATTTTTCAGCAGTTTCGCGAAGCCTGTTCCACTACCTTCCGTAACACTATTATTTTAATGGCCGACTCCAGTTTGATTGTAAACATTTTCATGGTGTATGCAAATTTCCAAAGGGAGATCACCATGTGGAATAAACTCTTGACTTGCTTTTTCCCGGTCTTTTACTCTTAAAGAATGTCTTGTGTAAATTTTGGTCAACAACTTGTTTTGCATTGAAGCCAATTTGAAGGTCACATTACAAAAGATGATCATATTTATCTGGTGATTTTAATAAATTAAATTAATCTTGATGTAAAACTATGAAATTACTAGGGCTGTGTATTGCCATTTTTTTCTGTCACGATACTTATCACGATATTTGTTTTTCAAAACGATGCGATTCACGATATGTATTGCATACTTTGAAGAAATGCGATGCATATATTCTTATGTTGCGATGCGATACGTATCACGATACTGACTTTTAGACTCGTTAGTATATAAAAATTTGGCCATTTGTTTACAGCATAATAACGAATATAATATAAATCTATTACAATAACAAAAAAATAAACTCTTTAACTTGTTGTTATAATTTGGTTTCCGATTTTGATCTTTTAACAATTTACTTTTCTGATTACTTGAGGATTAAAGGTATTTTTAATTAAACCATAACAGCAAATTGATATCTACTAGCTATTCTAACACTAAAGTCCACTACTGTAAATATGGCAGTTTAACAATTTCAGTCTTACAATACACCACTAAAGATTTTTCTTGTGAAAAAAATAGTAACAAGTGATCTACAATTAGGTCAACAACTGTGAAAATGACAGTTTATAAGTTTCAATCTTAGTTTTCTCGAAAGATTTGTGCTCAACCCCAGAGTATTTTATTTTGAGTTTGCAAATTTTGCAAACACTCACCGTCCGGTCTTCCACATTATACAACACTGTCTGATGGTTCCCCAAAAACTACAATTTTCCCAAAACTCGTGACCAGGGAGGATTGACTGTAATTTCCCCGTCTACATATTTTGCAGTCTTCATGTTTTCTGTTTGTTTGTTTGCTTTGTTGTTTTTTGATGTCAACGGAAATGAAAGTATAAATACGTGACGAATATCACATGGGGATGTTGTCATCATCACTATTTTAATCCGACATTTAGGTGCTACAAAATAAAATTACAAATTGCCTGCTGCACAGTATATGGGCCAATTGTGTTAGCATCTAAGTCAAAAAATAAAGTTTAACATACAAGGCAATATTTGCTCTTTTTAAGAACCTTAGGGTGTCTATAACAATATTTTTGGAAAGAAAGGATAACTTTTTGGATACCTTTTTCAAAATTTTACATGTCTTGCGGACTGTGTGGGTAGGGGACGGATGTTACAAAGATATACTAAAAGTCTGAATATCTTACAGTTTATAATAAGAATTGTATTATTTCTCTTTATTTTATAAAAATATTATGTGTTCTGATTAATATTACAAAAAAAATCCAGAAAATTCATCTTAGATATAAAAATATTTGCTTTCAAATTTTCAGTATTTTTCACACAAAATGAAATTTTCAAACATGTTAGAAACAGAGAGAAATAAAACAAAGATAGGTACACCAAATCATTTTTAAATCAAATATGCAAACACATTTCTTATAAAACAGTAGAAATTAAAGGACTTCCTTATGTATATTTCTTGCCAGATAACCCAAAAATGAATTGTATCAGGGGGACGGATGTTACATTTTTTGGGGGGCGGATGTTACACTAGATGTTTAAAGCTCATAGTTCATACATTTTTTGGTTTTATTTTAAAGTAATAAAATTTATAAGAGTATATGCTTTGTACAGCACAATAAATGTAAAATAATTGAACAAATTATGAGAAAAATGTAGAAATATACCCGACAATTATGGAGTTTCTTACTATTTGCGTTTCACAATGAAAAGTTGCGTTGACTTAGTTTTCTTCCATTTATCTTACATTTGAATGATTATGAACATTGAAATGTTTTGAATAAAATAAAAACATTGCTAATTAAATAAAAGAATCTTTGTTTCCTGATAATGCATTAACATTAAAGAGAAACTGTCATACCAACGGTACCTTTCTATACATGAAATTATTTACAAAATACTTTAGTTAAATAATAAGATTTATATTTGTAAAAGATATGATACAGTGTGAAGTAAATAAGTTTTCAGATTGAAACATATGCAAGCTTGAATTTTTCATTACTAAATACATAAATTATGCACAATTAAAAATTTTCATTAAAAATTATAAGATTTTAAATTGTTGCAATTAAGTTCTATTGATTAATGTGGAATGTTAGCAGCATTATCCAAAGATTTCATAATGTATCATAATCTCATTATTTCTAACTTTTAATAATTCTCTCTGTATATATTTCAGTGTACAAAACTGTACATGAACTGCTTAACTTAATGAATTAATTTGTCATTCAATAAAATTTATAGGTGTAAAATAATTTGCAAAGCGTTTATTTACAGAATAATTTTCACAATAATTCCAACTTTATCATTACAGGAATCCTTACCTTATCCTTTACTTACAAGTTTCTTTCACTTTATTAACAATAATTAAATGGGTCAAATTGTACGAAAATGTGCTTATGTTTTTTGGGGGAAAAAATCTAAAAAATTTTAATCAGGGTGTTGAATTATATTTCTTTGTTTGTTTATTTTTCATTGACTTCATATTTAGCCTATAAAATTTTGAAGTTCAATAAATCCTTTGACTTAATTGATCTTCATCTTTAATACTTAATTACAGACATTCATGAAACAGATATAGTAGTCCCTCCCACTGTTTTTAAGCATAATATATATCACCCTTAATTGGCACCCCTACTGTTTTGTAATATATCACACTTCCCAATATACAATATACGCAGCTCCCAATACGCAGCTCGTTAACTTCCAATAAAGTGCCAGCCCCTTCTGTGTATAGAGTTAGGATCCATATCCCACTGTTTTATGAGGGGCTGGGGTACATGGTTTGTTTAAGAAATAACATCGTCCTGAGAGGTGTATATCGGCTATTTAACACCGGTTTGGAGTTTTGATGCGTAGGAATTGACCACGAAGGCCGTAGGCCTGAGTGGTTAATTTTGTCGCATCAAAACGACAAAACCGGTGTTAAATAGCCGATATACACCTCTCAGGACGATGTTATTTCGATTCTAACACGATAAAATAAGGAAAATCACTAATGTTATTTTTCAAGCGGAAATAACTTCCGGTGCCGATTTTCGTATAACGCTGTTCGATTTTCGCATCCTACTGTTGCGAAGATATATAAACTATTAAACAAAAGAAATAATAAGAAAAAAACGTTATTTTATCATGTTTTCAACATTAAAAACTTACGTCGTATTGTGTTTACATCAGTGTCCCATTTATCATTCCTGTATGTATGAAATAACGTCAGCTTGTTTATGAATGAGTTGTTTACTTAGGATGACGTCATTACGCTGCTTACGGATTGGCGCCGTTTTGTCAAAATATTTATTAACTAATATGGATCTAATATATGGCGTTAGTGTATGTGAGATATTATTTCGGTATTGTATGAAAAGAAAACATTATACGAACTGAAAATATAAATAAAAATGCTTTTTATTGTTGCTTTAAAATGCTTTATAAACTATACAATCGAGGGTGAAAACATAATAGCGCATATACAAGTAGTCCGTTACAGGTGTTTATTGACAGTTTAACACCAGTTTTTTTCATTCTTTGTCTATAGTGACAAAATCACGTGAGTGTTAGAATAACTATTTAACGCTAAAGAATTTATGTTTTAACAATTGACCAATTTTAATCCAACATCTCTATCGTTTGCACCTCTTAACTTTCTATATATCCTGTTATTGATTTTGTGTTTGTTTCTTCTAGTTTTTTTTTTAATAGTATTTTATTTGTTGTGTGAAACATTCCTATACAGTTGCAAAGCTTACTACTTCTCTATCATGCATCATAGGAACAAGATAAGTTTCGTATTACTGTAAAAAGAATTTTTAGTTCAATTCTGTAACATCCGTCCCCTTCTGTACCCTTAGTTTGTAAACACAGAATAACAAAAGATTATATTTGTTATAAACTCATATAAGCTTCAATATTATCTTAATTAACTCATAGGTCCACTTGATGTTAAAAAATAACATTTAATACACTTGTTACTATATATAGAAACAAAATTGCCTATGATTTCAACTGATTATGAGTGTCACATGACCTATTATGAGTTTGCGGCCCGGGGCCGAGAACTAGTTATCAGCCCGCAGAACATGTTCACGTGCACAAACTGAAACAATGACGTCATATTTAACGTCATCAAACAGTTAACTGTGAAAGTAGGTTGTCAGCACGAATCGCTTTATTTTTATTATGAGAGCTTAAGCGTATTTAGTACAAACACATTTTTGTTACTATTAAAATTTGAAGAAATAATACGACAAATTCATTCTGAAAAAAAAAGAAAATAAAATAAAACTTGCTTCTAGATTCTACTGCTTTGAACACACAGACAGTAAACATCTCTGCACAGAACAGTACAGTAGAAGAGTAGACAAGAATTTCAACGAAAGAACTTTGTTGTTATTTTTGTTTTTGTTTTCTTTTTAAATGGTACTAGATCTATTAGATCTACCAAGTGTATTAAAGACATTAATACATGTCAGAGTAGGGCCGGAAGGTGATAATCGGCCCGCAAAATGAATAATGGACCGAGGGCTCCTGCCGTGTATTAACCTCTTAATAAATTATATTTCAAAGTAAATAATTTTGTTTTCAGAGCAAAAAAATACTGATTTTTTTTTCAAAATTAAGGAATTTAGTGTTAACAAATAATATTTTTTATAATTACATCATTTCAGTGCTTTATTTCTGTTATTTCTTCATTTTTCATTGTAACTTTGGTGTTTTAGTGTAAAATTCCCTTTTCAGTTACAGTTTATGTGAGATTTAATAAGCACCTTATATAGGGGGACGGATGTTACATACAACTTTTACATTATTGTATTTTTTTTCTCATAAACATAGAAATTGGCATTTTTTATAACATTTTCATTGTAAGACTATCATTAAGCACCAGAAACATTGTTTTTTATGAGTATTGTTTTATAATTGGATATTTTATGAGAGGGGGACGGATGTTACAGTTTTTTCATCACAAAATTTTTTTTACCTCTAAAATGCCTACTATGGTAAAAATGTTTGAAAATTTGAATTGAAAACACTTAACATATGTTTTTAATTCATATTTCATTAGAATGAGACAATAAAGTACTATTTTATTTGTTCTTGCTTAATGGTATACTTGTTTGCTTAACAACTGAATTTTGAAAAAACTGATACATTACAAAAGTCTGATTTTACTAAAATCATCTTAACGATCCAGGATGATGTATACCAAGTATTATATATCACTGGAAAGGTTATTAAATTTTCTATGTGCATGTAAAAACATTTAAGTGATAAATTAAAACAGATAATATTGGTGTTAATTCTAAAAACACCAAAAAAACAGATGCTAACACATTACATGTAAAATTGGACATTTTTAGGGTATAAAAATGTCTGTATCTTTATTTTGGGTAATGCTATCACAAAAAATTTTTGGGCACATTTGCTTTATAGTAAGTCCTTTGTAAAAACACAAAAAAATAATAGAAAATGCAATATATTTTTTGAAAAAGCCTGCATTACATGTATTTTTGAAAAATTGGCCCATTTACTGTGCAGCTGGCAAAATTCATGTTTGTAGGTTGTTTTTTTCTTGAAATCGCACGGACTCTAATTATGTTTTTATTATAAACAAGTTCAAAGAACACCAGCCCATTTACATGGAATTGATAAAACTTGGTTAGTTACTGTTAAATGATTGCGGACATGGGGAAACGAGATGACAACGATGGTATGATAATAGTCACGCTTGTTTATTGTTTTCATCCGAGCTATTTTTCTTTCTTCAGTCTTTCAAAAAATACGTTTGTCCTTATATTCCTGGAAGATATTGTTAGTGTATTGTGATACCTTCTCCCTGTATCGATACATTGGGAGGTGAAATATGTATTGCATCGCAATATATTGGAATTTGTAATTTCATTACGATGCATACATTGGGGACAAGACAGATCGCGATGCATCGATGAATTGTTACACCTCTAGAAATTACATACAATTAAAAAAGAGACATTGAATGATGCAGCAAATGGTTATCTGTGCTGGAAATAAACCTAAGGGTCACGAGTCCAGACTGTAAAATGAGGGTCACACTACATACATGTACTAAACACTTCTTGGTTTTCCAAGATAAATGGTGTCCTGGTTTTCCAAGATAAATGGTGTCCGCACATTGGCTACTGTCTAATGTATCTTTTATGGAAGGGATGTTTTCGACATTTAGTATACTCATTTTAGCAGTAGCAAAAGGGATAGTTAATATCATTTTTACCATGGAGCTATTAAGGCATACTGCTTTAAATTTTTTGTAACAGTACAACATTGCTTCTACAATTGTGAAAAACTTGCTAATTTTATTTCTTTCAAAAGGGGTCATCTGAAGACTTTTATTCACACTGTCCACCTTCTTTTGACACTGAAGGACATTGACTGTATGCCAGTGGCTGATATTTTAGGCAAGCTTTTAGAGACAGAAGGAGGCCCTGGACATGTACCCGCTTTATTAGGCAGTAAACATATCCTCTGCTGGGGATTTGAAGACCTCCTCAGTGGGACTGAAAAAGAGTCAGGAGAAAAGGACAAAGGTATAATAAATCTTCAATCTATTTTTTTAACAGAGGTTTTGCATGAACATTTTTGGAAGGGAACTTTTTGTGACAAGAAATGTGGATACTGATAATAAAAAAAATTCAATTTTTACAAGATGCAAAATTTATATAATTTTACTGATTTCACTTCAAGTTTTCAATTGTTATGTTAGAGGTTTTTATATCAGAATGCAGAAATTGAGCTGTTAACAGTAAAAAAAATTTGGTCAACCTGCTTGGAGATCAAGACTGGCATGCTATTGATTTTGCTGTTAACCCATTCCCTGTCGAGTAATGAAAATTAATGGACTTGTACATTCTGCTGGTTGACTACCTTTTTATTTTTATTTTGATGCGCTCAATATTGATAATGCATGGTTCGAAAAAGTCCATTTGATGATGAAGAAAATGGGTTAACTTTTGGCATACATGTACACATAAACTTACCATAACTACTACCAGCACTTGAAAGGTTTAATTCTCTGAATTTCAGCTGATGGGGAGATTGGAAGAAGTTTAGCTTCAGATGGAGTTTTCCTGTATACAACAAATGCATGCGGTAAAGGACTAGCGAAAGTTGGCACAGGACTTCACGGCACTCTAAGGTTTTGGTTTACTTATGATTTATAGAAAACAATATAACGTTTAATGAAAGTGTAATTATATATAATTAGATTTTATATTATATATAATTAGATTTTATAAACAAAAGTCCTCTCAGTTTGTCAACAGTAATAGGGTATTTAAAGTGAAGGGTCCATGCTGCCAGTCAAATGTATCTTTTCATTTTATCATTCTGAAGTGTGGCTTTGAAAATGGAAAAAAATTGTCACATGAATCAAATTTCTATAAATGCTTAAAAATTTCACAAAAGGTTTCAGCTGTATTGAATTTTTTCAAACAACTTGGCCAAATGTTTTACAACTTTACATAATTATTATTTATTTGATTTGTTGAGATTTGTTATATAATAACATGCATGACATAATTTTCTTTTAAAACAAACAAAATCAGAAATTTTATTTGATTTATAGATAGAAAATAAAGATTTCATTGTCTATCTTTCCTTTTCTTTCAGAGGATATATTTACTCTAGAAACCCAGAGATAGGCCCTGGTAAGGTTGCCGTTGGTGATGGATGTTTAATATACAGACCACAGTCATATGATGGTGAAGCTGATGTACAAAATTTCTTTCAGATTCTCGACAAACATTTCCTACAGGTTAAAACTTAATCCTTGTGTTTTATATTAAAAAGTTTAGTATTTTTGTAATAGTATGGCCATTGCTTAAATTTTGAAAATGCATGTGGGAAATTAATGTGAATATTATCAGAATGACTTCATGGTCATAGAAAAGTAAGTTTTTTCAGCCAATAGTACATTTTTTTATTGACTTGAAATATTTTTGTGAGTTTTTGGTTATCTAGGAGAAGGTTTTCAGTGCTTTTCTTTCTTCAGAGTTCATTTTCTGTAAAAAAGTAGCCAGTTTTAGATGACAAAAATGCATATTATTCTGGAAGTGGTGTCCAAAAATGTCCAGTGACTGTAAAATTAATAATTTGACAGTTCAATGTCATGAATCTCTTTTTTTTTCAGATTACCAAATTTCATAAAATTCCAAATTTTGTGTAACATGACCTATTTTTTAAAATGGTTTAAAAAAACCCACTTATCTAAGACAGGGAGTTTATTGCACTGTACAAAAAATTTATAAATAAGTTATTCATTTCAGCCAGTGAAAACTATACCTAAGCCAGAACAATATGTGGAGGATGGCCCATGTACTACTGTTGCATTTTGCAGCGACGGTTCCTACTTTTATTGGATATGGTGCCCGTCTTTGTTAACAGACAAAAATGCAAAGGGAATACCAGTTAATTGTGAAATGTTTGTGATTCAGGTTGGTTGATTATATGAAATATTCTTTGAATGTGCTATTGTTTTGTTGTCATAGTATTCATAGCATACTTCCCTCACCGCTGTGGGTTCGAATCCCGACAGAGACTTTGGATTCTTTCATGTGAGGAAGCTATCCAGCTAGCTTACTGAACGTCGGTGGTTCTACTCAGGTGCCAGTTCATGAAAAAATGCACGGAAGGGTGCCTGAGGTCTTCCTCCACCAGTAAAAGCTGGAACATTGCCATATGACCTTAACTGTGTTGGTGTGACGTAAACTCAATCAAACAAACAGCATACTTCCAGCTGACTTAAAATCCTATTCCTGACAATGCTGTGGGTTTGAATCTCGCCAGGATTGTTAAATTACTTTAACATTATTAAAGTTGGTGGCTTTACCTAGCTTCTGAACCGCCTCCGTGGTCGAGGGGTTAGAGTCGATGACTTCTAATCCAGTTACCTCTCTGGCGTGGGTTCAATCCCCGGGAGATGCTTTGGTAGTTTAGTGCAGAGGAAGGTTGTCTAGTACTGGCTGGTGTAACTCTCCAGGAATGATGGTTAGGAAACTACCCACCTATATGACTGAAATACTGTTGGGAAAAGGCGTGAAATCAAACAAACAAACCTAGCTTCTGTATTCCTTTATATGCTAGATTAACATTTGCTACCAGTATAAAGCCAAGCCAGGCTACATGTCAATGCCATCTGACCACTCACTTAACTTTCCATAGCTTTACATATATTTTTGTATGTTAATATTGAAATCTCTTAAACTTTGAATGGACTGTTCCAAATTTAAAGCACAGCAAATATATTACACAAAAATTAAACAGATAAAGAGTTAAATAATGAACAAAATGATTTTGAAGTTTTAAATGGCCAATTAATCAGTAAAATATAAGATGACCATAATGACCAATGTAAATGTGATGAAAAACTCTATCAAAAAGAAGGACCAAAAAGAAAAACCAACTCAAAACGTAAAAATACATGTATGTTTACAGAAAGAAGATTATGCTGTTGAGCCAGGTAGACCCAGGATAATTCTAACAAAGAAAGATGAAGCTGGAGCTAAGGCTCTCAATGACTCACTTATGTCCCGACTTAGACCAATGTACAGAGGCTCAGCCAGTGCTTTAGCAGCATTAGCCGGGGCAGAGAATGGAGTGGCGAAGAAGGAAGATCGTAAGATAGTTTTCTTATATCTTGGTATTTCTATAGGTACAACCATGTATATATATATATATAATATTGCATAGTTAAAAGTGCAAATAAATTTCTTAAAATTTTCATTTGCTAACAAGTATGGTCTTTAGTATTTTTATAGCTAAAATTGTTTTAATACAATGTATATTTTGATGTTAAAGGCACATTATGCCACAAAAATCAGTAAAATAATTATTCTTTGGAAAGGTCAAACAAGTGTTTGATAATGTTTTAATAATTGATTTAGAACATAATAATAACATATTAAACAACAGATGAAAGTAGCACTGAATGTGCAGTCATAATATGTCATAAAAGTAGCAAAATATAAACAAAATAGTAATTTGGCTTCCATTCAAAATACTTTACTAGAATTATAGCAATTGCCAAAGAGCAAAAGAAGCAAAAAATGTTTCATTCATATGGCCAGTGAATAACATTCTGGAAAAACTGTAACAAGATAAAAAAATAAGAAATTTTTGAAAAATAAAAAAAAATGTTAGCATTTTTGGAGGTTTAATTATTCTTTAATTAGTACATTTGTAAATATTAGATGAATTAAAATAAGGCAAATATGTATTTCATCTTCTCTTGTAGCTGTGCAGCAGACAGGAAGTACCAGCTGTGGAATTCTGTTGAAGGTTTTATTAAAAACACCATTATTTATCGAGGGTAGCCACGTTGTAATGTTGACATCTCTGCCAGGGGGCAGCGCCAGTAATGCAGCACGGTCTTTGTTTGGCAGCAGTGGAGGTCTTTCTTCACTAAGATGTATTATTTTTGTCTTATTTTTCTTTTTCTCCCATGAATTAAAATAATATTTTGCTGTATAGAGTTTGACATATATTGTTAGATTGTTGAGTGACATAACTAAATCTCTTGTTTCAAAAAAGAAGTGTGAATGTACTTTTTTTTATACTGATACAAAATCCAGGTTATAGTGCTTTTTCTCAGATCTTTCGATTTTCATTGGTCAGTACACATTATCTACTAGTTTCTGACCAATTAAATACTCGAGATGTCAGTTTGTGATAAGAATATTTATTTTCTGTAAAACCAACAAATACACAATAACCTGTATTTAATGATTCAGAGAGAAATATATATGTTCTATGATTATTATTAAACTAAGTAATCAAGGTAGGGATGAAGAACAACACATCTGATTATTATTGTTAGAATACTTATATAATTAAAGTGCACATTTCTTCATATTGATACGTAGAAATGTGCAATTGAGGAAATGTAAATAATATTATTCTGTTTTAAAGACTCTGTATGTTATTTGTTTTCAGCACTAGCCACAAACCAGTGTTTCAGTTTAACGGATGGACAGTTTGTACAGAGAGCAGATCTGATGGATGCACCAAGTTGTGCCATTGCCAGGGGAGCCTCTATTTCCTCTTTAGGTACACAGCTTTTAATGAATTATACATGTACATCTTTTTCTGTGTCAATTGATATTGGACATTGAGTCAAATGGTTATTTGTCTTTCATCGCTTATATAGAAATCATGTGAGATTAGAAGTTGGTTACTTCTGAAGAAATTGGTAATTACTGGTTAGTTATCCAGGAAAGCTTGTTAGGTGTATGGACTGCAGAGATATGGTCAAAAATTGTGTTAAATTTGGCATCAGAACCAGAAAAACAAAGTGACAAATACCTCTTGTTATTATATTGTGTCACTGTTCCAAAAAATGTAAAAGTGGCAAAGGCAGCAAATAAGACTTGAGCCAGTTGGGGTAAAGAAACGTTGCCCAATATGAATATTCTATGTTACAGGCTTGTGTTTTGATGTATTAAACAATGTGATATGGAGTTGTAGTAATGATTGGATGGACCAGTTCTATAACCCAGGTCATCAGGCACCACATCATATCAAAACAAAATTGTGTATACAACATAACAAACCAACAGAACAAACAGGCAAGTTTCTATGATTATTATTGTATATTTTTTTGAATAGGTGAATTTAATGAGACAGCTATGGATATGCTCCTTATTGCTAAAATCATCTTTGGGACATACAGGTTATTTAAGAAGAGTTGTATGTTGTATGTTTTATATTTTACTAATTTGATTCTGCATGATAAGCTTAAATACTACTCCATCAGTAAAAGCTTGATTACTCCTCCATCTCTAAAAGCTTGAATACTCCTCCGGATACTCCCCCATCAGTTAAAGATTAAATACTCCTCCATCAGTAAAAGCTTGAATACATCTCAACTGGGAATTCACCACAACCAGTTAAGCTTAAATATTCCTCCATCAGTAAAGGCTTAAATACTCCTCCATCAGTAAAAGCTATAATACCCCTACTTTAGTAAAAGCTTGAATACCCCTCCAACATTAAAAGCTTGAATATTCCTTCATCAGGTAAAGCTTGAAAACTCCTCCGCCAGTTAAATCTTGAAAACTCCCCCATCAGATAAAGTTTGACAATAACCACTTGACCTTTACAGCCTTATATCTTATAACAGTTGATAAATACAGTGAAAATATTGTTGGTAAACTGTCATATATTTTTATAACAGGTGATAACACAGTGAAGATGAATGTGGTAATACAACAACTGTTACAACATGTTGGAAGTATGTGCCTGCACCAAATCCACAGTGATCTACTGTATACACCATTTGGCAGCTACACCGTACAACAGTACCCAGTAGATTACACCAATCTGGAGAGAATCTGTGACATACTGAATAATTCAATATCTACAGGGCATACTCAGACTATAATTTGTGCTTTAATTGTGTTACAAGTAAGTTATTGTAAGCATTTATATATGTATATACCTCATTCAAAGAGGTTGTTAATAATTTTGGGGAATCAAATGTGAAAGTATCATGTTTGTGCAATCAGCATAGCAGAACAAAGTTGTAAAGAAGGTTCCAGATTTTTTTTCACTTTGTTAAGTTATAAAGTGTTCTTTTAAAATGATTAAAAGTCTACATCTACATATCAAGCTAAAGTTTAGGCTTAAAGCAAAAGTGGGAAAATAAAAGTCCTTGTTGAAAATTTGGTAATTGTAATATAATTATACAACTAAGTTTGTTTTATGTTGTTCTTTTCAGTTGATATTTAAGATGAGTGTGATAAAGCCAGCAAAACCTGCTGAGAATTCATTGGTGGAGAAAACAAGGTATATTTTATTGATCATGATGATATTAATGCCCCCCTTCAAAGAAGGGAAGGCATGTTGCCTTTGCTCCTATCTGTCGGTCTGTCTGTCGGTTCACCAACAGTTTCAGTTCATTTTCTTTGCTGAGGTTGCACATACTGAAATAAAATTTGATATACAGATTTATCATGAGAATATTTAGGTTATGTTTTGTTTTGGGTACTTTTGAGCATTTTTTTACAGAGTTATGCCCCAATTATTTACATCTGATTTTATTGCATTATCTCACAAACATCTCTTATTTGTATTGGTGAAAATACGTACTAAGAAATTCAGGGTTTTTAGATACTTGTCGAGGTAACTGTAATGAGAACAATCAACATATTGGTTAAAATCACTTAAACTGTGGGTTCTTATTTTTTCAAGGATGTTACTTTTATTCATATAAGAAAAAATTACCTCTTCATGTTTCTAAAAAGTCAGTAGTTATGATTGATATTATGCAAAAAAAGGCACCTGAAGTGAGCATGTTAAATGTGTAAAGATGTAGGCTTAACACTTGTTACGCTGAATATCTTAAGTGGACATGCCCTTCCTTCAACCTGGACAAAACCATTCATAATTTGTAGGGAAAATTTCAAAAAATGTACTGACTGAATGGCGAAAAGTACAGACCATTATCAGACCTGATATTTCTCTGCATTGGTTAAAATGTGAGGCCACTAGTTAGTAGGCTGAGTGTATGAGGGTCATTCATTGCCAAGGTTGTTGACTTCAAAACCACTTGCCTTTTACCGCTGTGATTTCAAATCACATCAGTGACTTTGGAATCTTTCATGTGAGCAAGCTATCCAGCTAGCCTTAAGAATTTCAGTGAGTCTACTTTGGTACCTGTTTGTACCTGAAATCATAGACAGTGGAGCACACTAGGTCTTCCTCTGCCAGTAATGCTGAGTCGCCTTATGACCCTAATCGTGTTTGTGTGACATAAAACCCAACCAAAAAGAAGAAAAAAAAAGGAATAATTCTTAATATAGATATGATTGACCTGACTAAATATACATAGCTATTATTTGATGATTTTACAGATCATTGGTGTGGAAACTTGTGATTGTTGAGAGAGATGACAATATGATGACTCACTCAGAGAGTGTACAGAGAGAGGCATGTATGGTGGTGGCCAGTGGCCTCATGGTGCTATATCCAACTGTAGAAAAACGTGTCGAGCTGATGAGGCTCCTGCTTACAGGTAGATTTTTATGAATTCTTGCAGATGTTTCAGATTTAAATATATTCATTCATGAATTCTTCCCACAAATTTTTAAGATGCATGTATTTCTTTTATCATCATTATTGTCATGTTAAGTAAACAACTGTTAGGAATTCAACATGGACCCTTCACTGTTAGGAATTCAACATGGACCCTTCACTGTTAGGAATTCAACATGGACCCTTCACTGTTAGGAATTCAACATGGACCCTTCACTGTTAGGAATTCAACATGGACCCTTCACTGTTAGGAATTCAACATGGACCCTTCACTGTTAGGAATTCAACATGGACCCTTCAATCCTATCGTATGATGTATGTCATCTATTAAGCTAACAAAAGGTCAATGATTCAACTACGCCCCTGCCAGTGCCTGCAATACATGTGATATCCAGAAGGAAACTTGGACTTACTAGAAACTATAGCTATAAAATTGTAATACAAATTCAGCAGCCTTGGATTCTTGGTTTGACATAAAACCCAACAAAATGAAAATTGTTGTCATAATTTTTTTTTGTATCTTTGTAGGTGAAAATCCAGGACTGACATGTTTAAGAGATAAATTGTTTGTAGACTTTACTGACCAGTTGAAGGGACAGATCACAAAACTGGACCAGTTTTACAACTTAAGGTTTGTAATACTTTGATTTTCTACATTAAAGAAAGAATCTACATTAAAATAATTCTAAATTTCTCGTGTCTTATTTTATATTTAAGTGAACTCTCATTGTCATTTATCTATCACGGCTGAATTAGAAATTACATGAGATTAGTAGTAGATCACTGGTATAGAAATTGATAATTAAAGGTTAGTTACCTTAGAAAGTTGCTAAGTGCACTGACCACCAAGATATGACCAAAAGTTGGTTGAAATCAAACAAAACAAATAAATAGGATAATTATATAAATGCAAAATGTTTTATTTTACAGTTTAACAGATGATATTACATCACTGTTGTTGAAGATGGTTGTAAAGAAATCCTGTAATCTTCTCCATAAAGCTGTGAAACTTGAGAAGGAACAGTTTGACTGCATGCTAACAGAAATACCTGTAAGTTCATTTTTGTTGATATGCATAAATTAACTTACAAGGGTTTTTATTACTTAACTACACATACTACCATATATTATAGGCTTGATGGACAAACAGTTATTGCAGCTTACATTGTCCCATTACTGTAAGGTTAAATTTAAGTATAATTCTTTCATATCAGTAACCTCTAGGTAGTTGATGGAAGATGGATGGTTTTACCATGGACACTTGCTCATGCCTCAAATAAAAGCAGAGCGGCAACTTAAAATTGCTCCCTAGAAAGCTGGAAAGTCACATATGCCATTTCCATTTTTCAGTTAACTTTTAATTTAATTTTAGAAAAGAGATCCATTGTTATATATGTATCCCCCTTTACTTATTTACTAGTAAGACTGTAAAGTAACATGTGCTATGTCTCTATGGCTAAATACTCAGTCATCGTAAGAAATAATATATATATAGAGAACAAGTTATGTTTTTTCAGTTGTCAAGTCCATGTCTCAGATATCTGATGTCTCTGCAGTCATTTCTATTGAGAGAAACAATTTTATTACCAGCTGATGAAAATGGAAATACGGATAGTGAGAAACTACAGGTAAAAATGATAATTTGCACCTAAATATATATGTATATAAAATATAAACTACAGGTGTGAAATGATAATATACACCCTTTAGATATTAAGAACTTATAGTTATGAAAAGATATTGTAATTATATAGATATGGAAAAAACAACAAGTATTAAATGATAGTTTGAGCCTATAGTTATGTAATTAGAAACTACAGGTGTGAAATGATAGTGTTTACATATAGATATTAAGAAATTTCAAGTATGAAATTTTATTGTTAACATACTGGTAGTAAAAAATCTACAGTATGAAGTGATAGTTTATACATAAAGGATGCTCAAATATCATTCTGTAGTATACCTCTATAGATAAAAGTTTTATGAATCATGCACTTAGGGTAAAAAATGCTTCCATCTTGGAGGTCATACAGTATCATTAGGATAATAAAGATGAAATATTTTTCAGACAAGTTTCTTGATTGGGTCTCTACCCTACATGAATGATTTTTATTACTTAGATGCATTTACATTCGAGGATATATTGCCCCGCCTTTGTAGTGCTCTTGTAAAGTCAAGATGGTTTCAAGACTTAATTATAATAACCATTGAACATTATTTTGTTTAACTTTATTTTTCAGACTTTACAGACAATGGTACAGAGTTTTGCAGAGAAAGTGTTTACTGGTGCTTGTCAGGTAAATCTCAATTGCACATGTTGTCACGTTTTTGTTCCCTATTGAAATATGATTATTGAAGTTAGAAAGTTAGGTTACTAGGTCAAACCCATATTTAATCTTTTTAATTTTCTCGAGGCCAAAAGATATGCATAAATATGCATAGGTCAAAAATAAAGTTAAAGAAAATATGTTTGTTGGAAAAAGAAAATATGTTTGTTGGAAAAAGAAAATATATTTGTTGGAAAAAGAAAATATGTTTGTTGGAATCTCGTCTATAGTTGAAATAAGTATTTTGTAGCACAAGAACTTGATTATGGAGTGAGATGATGTGATTGGTTTTCGTCTATTCTTCCACTTAGCTTCTATTTTTTAGATCATTGGTCAGATATAACTTGTACGATTTTATTTTTCACTTTCCCAGTATGTTTGTTTTTCTATTTTGGCAGCACATCTAAAAAAAGTATATATGCTTGAACATTTTTTTCAGGTTCTTGAAATGTTGCTCAATTGTTGTAATCAAGTAATTCACAAAAACACGGAAGATCTGGAAAACCGCCTGCAAGGCCTGGAAAAGGTTTCCAAGGCAACAATACTAGGTCATATGTTACCTTCTCTGATGACAGCCATGACACATAAAAACCTACAGTGTCTAAACCTTGCTGATACATTGATGCCACAGCTTGTGAAACTTGTAGTTCTGTCTAGTCAGGTAATATCTCCAGGCTCTATTTTCAACCAAAACAACACAAAATAACCTAAATGGACTTGTCCTTTCAATCTGGACAAGGCCATTCATCATTTTTAGGGGAAAATTCGAAATATGTTCCGGCTGAATAGCATACAGCCCAGACTATGGGAAAATGGCACAGATGTGCTGGCTGACCTTGGTCTGCACTGGTCACACTGGTCTTAAATATGTGATGAAAGGGAAAGACAACATTGTTGAACAGTTCAACCCTGTTTGGAAATACCTATTAGTGATATTCTAACTTCATTGAAATTTTAACAAAGAAGCATATCTTGGGCAAATTCCTTAAACCAAATTATAACTTTTGTTGCCAAACTTATACAATTCTAGAAAATGGCTAATGGCAGAGTGCAAAATTATAACTTTTGTTGCCAGACTGATAAAATATTTAGCAAATTGCTAATGGCAAAGTGCCAAAATAATAACTTTTGTAACCAAACTTCTAAAATTTTAGCAAAAGCTAATGGCAGAATGGGTCCTACAACTTTTGGATATTGTAACTTGCTGGCAAAAAAAAATCAATAAATTTACTTTTGAGCAAATATTTTTAGAATAAAAAATTTTGAAGATACATGTATTTATTTACATTCCATAGCATTGTTGTTGATTGCCTAAATTTGATATGAGAAATCCTGATATTTAGGATTTTGGGATTAACAAGTTATGTGCATCCTATTGTAAATGCATATTGTATAGGGAGTGAATAAGAACACCATCTGGAATGAGAAAATGCACCTTCTGAGACTCTTTCTGTATTTTAGAAAATCATTAGTTAGAATACTCTATGATGTATATTATAGGCTGCTCTGTTGTTGAAGAGCCAGGTTCAAGCTATTCTACATGAAGTGGAACCAGACACCGACTCTGATGTCATTGATATTATTGGTCAAACTGTAGAAAAGTAAGATTCATTTTCATGGTTTCTTAGTATTAGAAATTTTCATTAGTTTGATGAAACATATTTAATTGTTTTGTTTTTGTAGTTTCAAGAATTTTTGAATGATTTTTGGATAAATCTCTGAAACTATGTAAAAAAAATGCCTTTTCTTTTGTTTGAAAAGGATCAAAATGTGATTGCATACAAAGGTTCTACTTAATTTTCTTTGATATAAAGGGTATTGATGAAAATAGATATTTTTAAATATCCCGCCTGTGTACAAATCATTTTATGGAGTGAAATGAAAGTGTTGCTTTTAATTCTTTATATATGCCTGTTCTATTCGACAAAATAGAGAAAATGGATACGTTAAAGAAATAAAAACAGCATACTCAAAAATGTTACAGTCTTGGTTTGATTGAGCCTGTTAACGAACAGTAGTGGTAATTGCCAGGCATTGTCCACATGCCCAAGCACTGGCTAAGCAGAATTCAGCATTTAAATATGAAATGGTAATTTTTTTTATTTAGAAACATCTGCAGAAGAGTTCATACAGCAGTCATCATGTACTCTCCAATGTGACATGCTCATGCTTTTCCATAAAAATCAACATATCACCCCCAAGTATGAAATGCTTGTGCTCTAAGGTCATGGCTTAGCAGTCAAAGAATTTACTTCTTTCTATAATTTGTACAGCAGGTGATATCAATGTCCTTAAACATTATCTTGCAGAGTCGATTTGAAGGAGCATGAAGAGCAAGGGTTCCTGGCTGGACTCAAGATCCCGGCTCCCTGGGCGTCTGGTAAAGCCATAGAAAGTATTCACCCTGTCAGAGACAATTACAAGTTTAAGGAGACAGTACATATACCAGGGGCCAGGTGTCTTTATTTGAGATTTGATACTCGTTGTGCTTCACAGTATGATTATGATAAGGTACGTACATTTAGCTGTTTTAACCCTTAACTAACCCTTAACCTACTAAATTTCAAATTTGTGTAAAGGAATTTCCCTGCTATGAATTTGGAACAGTCCATTCAAAGTGAAAGGGATTTCATTATCAAAATACAAAAAGCTGAACTAGTGACAGTAAGGAGTCTGGCCAGACTGCACAGATGTGCAAGTAAGCCTGGCTCTATACTGGTGACAAAAGCTAATCACTCGTGAATCTAGCAGGCTAAAGGTTTAAGTAAAATGAGTGACAATAAAAAAGTGTGGAGCACAGCACTAAACGAAGTATTACAGTTTATACCAGACAAGTTTCTTGAATGATTAAATGCTTAAATCTCACCTTTTCACCAACTGTAATGCACTTTGAGATGCCTAATTCATTTGTTCTCTCAGATTTATGTACGATAGTGAATGAAAATTGTAAAAATCAGCGAAAAAGACGACATTTTTCCATGTTGTGATCATGATTTTTGCAAAGGTCTGGAGGTACTGCTTTCACATTATAGTGAGTTAAATCTAAGTGAAAAAGCTTACCCTTACAATACTGAAAACAATACTGCTTGCCTGCTCATTTGTATAGTCACAACAGATGTAATTATATTGTCTGACCTGTATTCTTTTGATAATATCAAGCCCTTTTCTTAATTTGAATACTATAAACACATAATTACAGATTTGAAAATGTTTCTTAGATGTTTGAAAGTTTTTCTTCCCTACAACAAATATTCTTCCCTAACTAATAATAATATTAAAATATTTGATACAAATTTGTTTTTAGATGATCCTGTATGCTGGTCCCAACACAACATCAAAGAAAGTGGCAGAGTATGGTGGTAACACATATGGTTTTGGCAGTAGAAGTGTCCTAGGATCTGGCTGGCCAAAAGATCTTGTTAGGGTAAGCTGTACCATTTGGTATATTAAACTATCTGAAATACGCTAGGCAGCCAATGAGACCTATGTTGTTTTTTATAGCTTGACTGTTTAAAGAATAGGGAGAGCTATTGTACCCACCTTGACCTCGCCATCACTATCACACTTTTGTTAAGTTTTTGTGTGCAACATTGTATCTCCAAAACCACTAAAGGGAATGGGTTGAAAATTCACACCCTTGTTCTCTGTGATCATCTAATATTATCGGCACAGGTCTCTCATATTATGGACACAGGTCTCATAACTCTTGAGTTACTTTTTGTAGAGTAATGCCTATTTCATTACTGCCAAGCACTGTGAACAGTTAAGGGTGCTGGATACCCTTCTTGCTGCAGTTTGATTTTGTTTGTGTATATAAGGAGGTATTAAAAATAATATACTTCTGAACTGACAATTAAAAAAGTTAAATTAAGTATTTTGTTTAATAAGTGAAAAAAATGGTGAATTAATGTATGGAATAGACAAAGTACTTGTCAACTGTAGATATAAATAAGGCTACTAGGTAGTTTCATTTTTATGAAGTCACATTTTATAACTTTTGTATATTAATTATATATAATATATAGAACATTGTATAGGCTTATCTTTCATGAAGTATCATTATATGACTTGTGTATATTATGTATAGGTGGAAGGAGATACTGTGACACTTTCATTTGAGATGAGAAGTGGGAGGGAACATAACACTCCAGACAAAGCCATGTGGGGATTTCTTGTTACCGTCAGAGCACAGGTTCATAATTATCTTGCTTTAGATATTCACATAATGTGGAGTATTCTATTGCCATTTCTGTATTTTTGATAAGTCTATATATGCTCATTTTTGCATGATTGTGAAGTTTGTTTTCTTTGTAAGGAACTACTGTGCTATAAGGCGGAGCATGGTCTTGATTGGATTATTGGCATGAAAACCATGAATTTGTTTCTGAAAAGAATATATACAACCTTTAGCCCATCACTTTTCATAAACTTACTGTGGGATACCTACCTACCATTTAAAGACCAAGACTGTTTAAGTACGTTTCATGTAAGACCTAGCTATGTAAGCTTATCCGACTGTATATGGTTAGAATAATATACATGTATATGTATGTTTTTAAATAATGATACTAAAAATACCTTTGTCTGGATGATCAAGTATAAGGAAATTAGAGTATTATTAGAAATGTCAGATATTTGCAACATTGACCTTTGTTACATCGTCCATAACTGATGTATGTTTTATTTTATTTAGGAAACACCAGAAGAAGTGTCCAATGGCCTGCCATTTTTGGCAGATTTAGGCCTTGGCCTGTCAGTGCTTGCCTGCACAATGCTACATTTGTTGTATCAAGGTCCAGAGAAAACCAAAGACGAGGAATCTTGCTTGCATTTACTTAAATCAAAATTGTTGCAAAGGTATGTTCTCTCTATCTAAGATATAACACAAATACGCCACAGCTAATGCCTAATTGACTTTGTTTGTTACACACAGTAGAGAATTTGGTCTATAGACCTGGGATTATCAAGTTCAAGTTCCTGATAAGGAACAGGCTTGTCTATGACAAGTTTATTTGACAACAGTATGACTAAGCCATCCTTACTTGACCACATTTTGAAACAAATTTGTATTGAGAAACTTAGCCTATATTTGACGAAAAATAGGTATTTTTGAGGTTCACTTGTTATGACAATCATACTTTTTTATTGAATTTCTCTTCCTTTAAAATGATATACAGTACATTGTATATTTCTGCTCACAAAACTTCAATCTTAAAATCCGCTACTTTCATTCTCTTTCATATTTCTGTGGTTATATATTGAAATTCAAATCATAGCATGGCAGTTGGAGTGTTCACCACTTTTTGGTAGTATGTGTAGTTATTTTATTCAGTTAATCTTCATTTCTCATGTTTTTTAGGTGTGTTTGGCAATCAGAATCCTTCACATCAAGCCCAGCTTCTCCAAAGATCCCACCAAAATCACAGCAGGCAGTAGACCCGACATTATTACCAAGGAGCCCAAGGATTCCTAGAATAAAACTGCCTTCAGAGATCATGAAGAACCTGTTAGGTTTATCCCCAAGACATCCTCCTCACCTTAGATCTAGTATGAAGTAAGTATGACTAGAACTGTGAAGAAAAGCATCAATTTCTTTGGTTTATCCCTAAAGTATAAGATGATGTGCACATAGCTATATGTACAGGTCATTCTGTCTTAATAAAACATATTCCCTTTTCAGAAGTAGTCTGTCTGCTTAGAACAGTAAGGGGAGCATTGTATTTGTAGTCCAGGGGTCTTTGATTCAGTTTTCGACAGGGCAAAATTTCTTCATTATAGTTGAATCTGGGACATTGAGTCCAATTGTCATTTGTCTCTCACCACTGATTCAGAAATCATGTCGGATAAGTAAGTAGTTGTTGCTCACTTGCAAAGAAATAAGCAATAACTAGTTTGTTTTTCAAGGACTGACCAACCCCAGAGATATGGCCAAAAATATGTTAAAATCGGCTTTAAAAAAAAATGTTGAGAAGAAACTGAAATTGAAAAAAAAAGTTTCATTGATAGTCTAGATTTTAGTGGTTGATATTTAAGAGACATACCAGTGTAAAGGAAATCACCGAAAACTTAAGACTTGTTAAAACATTTTATCAACTTTTTTCATTCTTTTCAAAGGGAGGCAATCAAACCAGATGTGATACTAGAAAGAGTTACCTCAGCCGTTGTTAAACACCTTGGCTTAGAGGACACTGTCAGATTCTTTACTCCATCAAAAGAGAGTCAGACTGACGAGTTTGTCCTCTTAACTTCTGTGATGGAGGAGATCTGTAGACGGACAGATGCACTAGTCAGGCAATTGCAGGTAATATGTGATTATATATTTCACTAGTACCCTGCCTATACTCTTTGTGAAATAGACCATTATTTTGGATGTGTCCTTTATTGATTAAAGTGTATAAAGCTATATATCTGCTGCCTGTAGTTTATAAATTGATTTATTTTGATTTTCGAGAAATAATATTTCAAAAACACCTGTATAAAGGAAATATTTTTGTATGCTTCCTTAATTATACTATGGCAGAAGCAAAGAATCATTGCTAAACAGTTAAAACCCTTCTTGGAATAGCAGCATAATATTTGGTGCCGGAAAAATTAAATTCTGTTCACATACAGTACTCGCATGCATTAGATTAAAGAGACATTTTCAGAACTGACCAAAAGCTAATGAAAACAATATATACATGTATTTACTGTTTATGAATTATACACAAATATTTCATTAGATATAGCTTTATACACTTCAAAAGGGGTTGATATTCAAAGGGGTTTTTAGTATCAGAAAATTAAAATAATGCAATATAAAGTACTCCAAATTCTTAAATATAGAGTGTATTTTTACCACAACTATGAATAAATAACTATATTTTAATCGATAAAAAGTGTATAATTTAAGATAAAAACAATGATGTAGGGTTGTTTGCAAGAATAATTCTCAACCCTTGTCATGCTGAATTTATTGTCCTAAATGTACTTGTCAATCTTTCATTTTGGACAAAACTAGTCATTAGTTTTAGAGAAAATTATGAAATACGTAGTGACTCAATAGCTAACAGTACATACCATGATCATGTGGTACAGATGTGCTGGCTGATGCCGTGTTTGGTTGAATCTGTTGTCTCCAGCAGGCTAAAAAGTTAAAATGTGTGTTGATTCTTCTTGTATTCAAGGCATTAGCAGATCTAGAACAAAGATGGCATACTGAAGTTTTAGATAGGAAAGAAGACAAAACAGTAGAAGCTCCACCGTTCTTTCATGATTTCCATTTACAAGAGGTAATTTCATTTATGTATTTACTTTTCTTTGTGGCTCTATGTCCTAATTTTGTCACATTTGATGTGTTGCTAGAAGACCTTTGCAACAACACTGTCATGGTCATAATATGGCAACTTTCAAGCTTTACCGGTGGATGAAGATCTCCGGTGCACGTGTGTGTAATACATGTATTTCAGACTGAAATAGGCATCCAAATGGAGCCACTGAACATTTCATAAGCTAGCCAGATAGCTTCCAAATAATCCAAAGTCTTTGTTGGTATCCGAACCCTCAGTAGGGCAAATGGTTTGAAAGTCAAGACCGTAACCACAACATATAATACAAAACTATTTTTAAATTTTGGTTTATATCTAGAATGTTTATAATAAAGTTCTTCAGCAATAGTGAACAAATATTGCTAAGGAAATTAAAGGTTAACAGTAAATTCAAAACATTATTTGTAAAAGCAAAGTGTTTTAAAATTATTTTCAGAGTTAATCATATGGTACATGAAAGCTATCATTGTGTATGATTTATATTGCAGTCAAAAATAAAGGAGTTATCAATGCTGTGTTTCATGAAGAGCATTGCTTTAGATACACTGAAAATAGAAGAAACTGCCAAAGAATTAAGGTAAGATCTCACTTTTTATTGGTTAAAACATATAATTGAGCAGCGCCACGACAAAACCAACGTAATGCGTTTGCGACCAGCATGGATCCAGACCAGCCAGGATCCATGCTGTTCGCTATCAGTTTTGCTACTTGTAATAGGGTTGGTAAGCGAACAGCATGGATCCTGATCAGACTGCGCAGATGCGCAGGCTGGTCTGGATCCATGCTGGTCGCAAACACATTATGTTGGTTTTGTCGTGACGCGGCTCATATGTACAGTCAAACGTGTATTAAGCGACCGCGCAAGGGAAACACCCAAAACGGTCGCTTAATGAAACGGTCTCTTAAGACAGTCAGCATGATATAAAAGTCCAAATTTATAAATGACATCTTTCTTATGAAGTGGGAATGTTTTTCAACTTCATTTTTATATAAATGTTGAATAATTAGTACGCTACGATAATCTAAATGGATGCAAATGTAAAAATTAACTTTCTGATATTTATTGACAAATTACGTACATGTTTGACATTTTTTCCAGAGTTTTTTAACTTCTCCGTTGTTTTTCCTTGTCTCCAACACGGAAACCCTATTAGTGAAGATGTTTTCTGTTGTGCATTTTTTCATTTGAAATAAACAAACTACATCTAATTGTTACGATTAATTTAATTGCTGATCAAGTTCAAGGTCAATTCCATGCAGTCTAAATGTCAACAAGCGAAGCGTATACACCATCTCAGTAGGGGCGGAGCGTTGCATTGTTTATCCGATATTATTGGATAATACATGTCACGGGTATACTTAACTTCATTTGCATACGCTAAAACGGTTAGGGAAATAGAGTTTTTCACACGTTTATTTGTTGTGTTTTGATTGTTGACACTTGTGACATTACGAGGTGGCGTTCTCTAAAAACACAATTACTTGACAGGTAAATGTGGTCGTTTAATGAAAAGATTGATCTCAATTAGGTGACTAATTAGCGGTCGCTGGTCGCGTTGAGCAAAAGTCGCTTAATACATTAAAGATATAGAGAGAAAATGATCGGGGGGAATTTAAAGTGGTCGTTTAAGACAAAAGTCGCTTAATACACGTGGTCGCATGGGCAAGTTAGACTGTATATTTAAAAGGTGTGATGTCACTGATATAAACATCAAATGATTGTAGAAGTAGCTAAATTTAAAGGATATATGTGTCATATGTATAAATGTTCTAGAGAGGGGAGATCTCTCATGAGTACTGAAAACCCACCAAAAATTTAGTTTTAAATCACAGAACCGATCTTATTGCATATATATGTTGAAAAGAAACAAATAGAATGTGTAACAAGTCTTATGTCCCTTGGCACTTACTTAAGCTGTATTAAATCAGTAACATAAAAGTAATGGAATTAGCAATCAAAAAGGATGAGAAAAATGTAAAAACAAAAAAGGCTGTTTTAATGTGAACAAAATTTTGTAAAAAAATATTGTCCTGCATGGAATCTGAATTGTACATTTTGAAGTTGAAGGACTTCAATATGAAAAAAAGTTGAGCACCCAACTATATGTATAAAGAACTTGGTGAAGATTGGTTGTTTTGGAATAGTAAAATTAGGTATTAAATTGAGAAATTGATAAATATTGGAGCTTTGGTATAAACATATTTATATTTTTATTTCCAGAGAGAAATTTGACAATGATGTGTTATCAAACGACTTCGACAAGACAGATTCCCTTCATCGTACACGTCAGTTGGCCGACGGTATTTTGGCAAGACTAGATCTGTTACTACATGTAAATATATCACCAGGAGATACAGGAAGCCTTACTAGGACTGTTTCACAATGTATAGAGGCGATAAAAACAGGTATGTTTTAACCCGCATTCTGCTTAATTTCTAGAATGCACTTGTCCATCTTCCATATTTGGGGACTTCTATTATTATGAAATTTGCAAATATCGAGATGAAAAGTGAAACATAGAGCCTTGTCCAACTGCATTGTGCACTGTTGTACAGCTTTATCTGGTTCTATACCTAGTTGCCATCAAACAGCTTCAGTGTTTAGTTTGTTAGTTTGAATGTGTAAAAAAGCTGTTAGCTTATAATAAAACTAAGCAATGTGTATAAAGTTTCTTACTTAACTTGTAGGTTCTACCTTGTAACTTAAAGGAAGCCAAACCTGGCTCTGACAGGGATCCTTAGATACTAGTCCAATACTTTAACCAGTTGGCCTGGCCACGAAACCCAGAGGAAAACAGAGGTTTCATCTATGTAACTAGCAAGTTAGGACTATTTTGCTGTGCTCAAATTATTTGCATGTATTTCAGGCTCGAATGTGATGGTAAAGTCTGACACTGACATCTTCCACTCCACCATTATGAGGAGTATCTCAGCGCCCTCTGGTGTCAATCAGTTCCAAGATGACACGGCTATTGACTTTCTCAAAATGCACAAGTAAGTCAATGTTCTATATCATTAAATGGAGTAAATTTGAAACAAAAACGTAAATTTGGTCTGATATTCCACAAGTTTGCACAAGTTTGTTTGATTATGTCCTGTAACTTAAGTTTTCATAAATGTTTAAACTAAGAATTTAAACTAAATGTATTTAAAGAAACTTTTATCAAGAGTCTTGGCGTTTTTGTGACCACTTTGTAATTATTTCTGTAAATTTAAGAACAAACCTTGATGAATATTTATGGCAATACTCTCAAGAAATATTAGTTATTGATAAGTGTAATGTATAATAAAGTGATAAGTCTTTTAAGTTCCGAAAGACATTATATTGAAATAAGTTAAATGATAACATATGAAGCTGTTTTAACTAGTACTTCATAAATGTCACGAATGGATTTGCGTATCTTTCAATCTTGTAGAAACCGTTCATTATTTTACGGAAAATTTCAAAATACAAATGTATGTAGTCATAAAGTAACAAGCAGAGCAGGCCTTGATCAGACAGGACAAATGTGCTGTCAGATCTTGGAATGCATGGGAAGAATATGTTTGTGCCAGCAGGCTAAGGGTTAAAATCAATAGTCTATAATACTCATTGAAACATTCTAAATTTTCTGTTGTAGAAGGAGACCGAAGCATAAACAGGGCCCTATATCTATATTACAAGACCTGATTGAAGATCAGGAAGAGAAAGGCCAGTCACCACATGTGATTCTGATTGGGCAACTGTTCTCTTTTATAGGAAGTAACCCAGAAAAAGCTGTAAGTAAATCAAAGCTAAATCCGTTTTTCTTTGTGACTTTTTTGACTGAGTATTGACGGTCTTGACATGTTAAAGTTACTGTGTACATTTTCTGAAGAGATTATATGGGGAAAGGTTCTGTTGATTGAAACACTGATAAATGAGTTTTTTACACAAAGATATGTATAGAAAACCTGTTGAATCCTGTCCGAAACTATTTAATTTATAGGTCATGATGAAGTATAGAACAATACTATTAGACATAGATAAAATATCATAAACCTGTCCTTGGGTTGACGTGTATTACTCTTTTACTTGAACTTATATTGGTAGATTACTTTTACGTATAGTACAGAATTATGCAAGTTCTCCACAAGCTTATTTCATGTATATTTTTTGGTACAGATTTCATCAGAGGCATTTTTGAAAACAGCACAGCTAAGATTTTGGAGAGGGAATACCAGAAAACAAGCTTTAATTCACATGAAGGAACTACTTTCGGCAGCCTCGAGAGTAGGGGGAGCTACACATCTTGTTGCTGCAGTAACATCAGTGCTAAGGCATGGTCCAAGGTAAAGAAAAAATTATATTTCTTCTCGGATAATTCATTGTATGGCATTAAAAATTATTAGTTCAAAATATTGCGCATCAGATTATTTATAATTACTCATCCTTTATCGTTCCAGTTATAAACTTTAAAAAATTATTGAATACCGAAGATTGTGAAAAATAGCATTCCGGAAATGACTGATTTATTACGATATTTGTTGATGTTAAAATTTTTTTGGCATGAAAGCATTGCAGCAAGGCTATTTAAGCATCAATTGTCGAACTCTAAAATTTCTTCATGTACATTTTGTCAATGATATAGGGTAGAAGAGTTGACTTGCGGAGGTATGGTTAACCAAGTACGAGAAGCGTTTGCTGAAACTATGACGTCAGTGGTTCAAGTTGCGGCTAGATATCCTATAGCATGCTGTAACAGTATCGGACTGTTGTGTGTTGTACCTTATACTAGGTAAGCATATAGATATATTATTAGAGCTAAAGAGATTCATTGTGTCATGGTTGCTGTATAAAAAGCCCTGCAACATGCTATTTGCAATCTGTGTTCTTACTCCCCTTATTGGTTGATACTTGAATAGAAATGACCCAGTTTCTTTCAGTCATAATGAAAACCTGATTGAGAATAGATTTGTTTGAGTGTTACTGGGGTCCAAAAGCCTTAATTTGATATTTGAAATTCTTAAATATAAAAACTTTGGCTTTATACAGAAAAATTTGAAAAAAGATAACAAATAAATATACTCCATATTGATATGACAATCGTTTTTGCGCGATTTATAGCACCATTTGAGATAAAAGCAGGTAAACTCTTTTTCACTTTTGGGTCATTTTGCACGATAAAAATCATTGTTTTGGAAAAACAGAGTGTGCCATCGTACTCAAATTTTGCAATCCTGTTACTGGTTCAGACCTACATCATATGGTATGCCAATCTTGAAATCTTTCATGTCAACAAAAGAAAATTGTCCCTTTAAATGTTCAAATTTTGTTTTTGTTTATCTATGATGTATAAAGCTATATTGAAGGTATCCGTTTTGATTTTTAAAACATCATTCAATATCTTTATGGTCAAGTAGTTATGACTTGAAGTCACTTTACATTTTAAGATTTAGGGCTTGAATTCTGTGAGTTATTATTTAATTCTTTCATTTGAAGAAACTTCCCAGGTTCAATGTAAACGTGAAGTTAGTGGTCTTACTCAGGTGCTATTTACACATGATTTAGTGATAAAATTAAAGTTGAATTAAGTCATTTGTCCTCTATAACTGACATTATAAAAGAACCAGGGTTAATAGTGTTAATTCCTTTCATTATATTTTACAAAAATTATTTATATATCATCAAATTGCATATTATGTATTTTTTTGGAAAAATTTCAGAGCTGAAGAAAAATGTTTGGTTAGGTCTGGACTGGTTCACTTACTGGATAAATTATGCAGTTTGGCAAACTACAGAGCTGAGAGTAGAGAAAGCCAGTCTACTAGGCAGAAAGTATCAGCTATGGCCTGGGCAGGCTTTCAGGTTCTAGCCAATAGATGTGTGATGTGGGAGACAGAGGAAGGTAAGTTTGATGAAAATGGTTTTGTGCTTTGAACCTTGAAGCCAAGTGGTTAAGTGTTGTTGACTAAATTTTTAAGCCCCTGTCCATGATTGGATTGAATCTGAAATTGCTCAGATTTGTGGTTGGACCTGATGTCTTCATCCGCCATTTATGACATACAACTACATGTATATGAACAAAACATAAGTAATAAACAATGTTCATAAAATTAAAATAGGATGAGTAAATAATTAGTAAAAAAAAATCAACAATCAGGCATTAACTAGATACCTTCATTTGCCATATTGATTTTAATTAGATCATCAGGGCAAATTTTTTTTTTTTTCAAGAATTAAGACAGTAAGACATTATCAGAGTTGAGATTTTACTAGCAAAGAGATGCACATGATCATGTTCTTTATGGCATTCAGCAAAACCATTATTATTCATTCCCAAAAAAATAATTTTTCATTTTCCTAGGTTCACAATATGAAGAGTTAGAGCACTCTGGTCTTGCACGACAAGTTTCTGTCTTACTAACCAACCATTTAGCACGTGCCACAGAATCTAGTGGTAATGAAGCCGCCGGTACAGAGGCACTGCAAGAGGTGCTCAGTCTACTCAACAATCTGTCGAGGAGCCACATGGGGAAAGCCATACTTAGTCAGCCAGCCTGTGTCTCCAAATTACTTTCATTATTGCTGGATCAAAGGTAACACTGAATTTAAGATATATTAACAGTAACTGAAATTTTTTATGTAATTCAATATGAATGGTTTTAACTTTAAGGTAGCATAATAGAAAATTTGAATACTTTCATTGACATTTAATTAAATAATTGGTACAAAGTAAAAAAGTTGAAAGAATATACTTATTTCTGGCATTTTGACTTTGCAATAATATCTTTATCAAGAAATACTTGTTATTTGCTTTAGTGAAATGACATTGAATTGATATTAGGTGATACCCATTTAAACAAGAGGAAGGACATAAAGTTGTTTCACACTTGTTTCAAGTGGACAAAATGATTTCAGACTTTACAAATGATCACCATGGCATCTGATAAGAGTGCACACATGATTTTTAGCATTGATATTCAAATAACAATATGACAGCTTGGTGCAAAAGGGCTGTAACTCCTTGTTTATTTAAAATGAGTTACCACCATTTCGCACCAAGCCCTCGAATTTATAGTTGGGCAAGTCCTTTGCACACATTAAGAAAAGTTTAAGGGTCATTCTATGATATATCTTTTTTATTATAAATATTTTCTACAGTAAAAAGTTTAATTATTCATTTCAGACCATCTCCAAAGCTGGTGTTGATCATTCTACAACTTTGTCGTGTAGCTTTACCATTAATGGATGCCTTAGACTGTGAGCAGGTACAATTACCAAACTGGGGACACAGTCTAGTGTCTAGTCATTGGAGTACGACGAAACCTATTTCAGATCCCCCGGCTAAAATTGTCTCTCTGCTTTTGGCAAGACTTGGTGACTTCTTGGTTCCAGGTAAGGAAATATGTGCAAAATTGAAGCATCTATTTAGCTGTATAAAACTTGTACTGTACAATTTGTGTTTAAGTAAAATTACACTCCTTTTTTCACTGTCATGTTGAGTTGAATAAGTAATTTATTTCAAGAGACATAGGATAATAATGGTGATTGATCAATAATAATTGATAATGTAAAATGTTTTGGGTAAAATATAAAAATTACCTTAATTATAAATAAAGACTGCCCCACTCTTTTTTATAACTGAATGTCACTGATAAATTCTTAATGATTTCTCAAAGTCACATGTATTATTGAAATTTTTTAGCATAGTAAAATAGATAGTTGAACACAATTATGGCTAAATGTAATGTTATTTTGTCTTTTACCTGTGCACTCACCATTTACTCTTGGTTGGGCCATAATGTGATTTGTAACGTTACAGGACCACACAGGGGAATAGCTTAATCCTTACTACACTTAATATCATCAATGGATTAGCCCATTTTTCAGTCTAGACAAAACCATTTTATCATTTAAAGAGAAAATATCAAAATATGTATTGACTGAAAAGTGAACAGTGTGGCATTAGCTTATCTCTTTCCTCTTGGCATAGCTTTTTGAAGGTTAATTTTAATGAATACGCAGATTTAATGACAAGAATCACAAACTATTTTTTTTTTGCTCAGTAGTTAGCAAGACAAGAACCCGGATGAAATTACTTTTTAACCTCCCTTGCAAATACGAAGTGGATAAACTCCGTAACGTACCTTATTACGGGACAGTACGTAAACATGGTACTCTGAATATTATGTGCTTTAACAAGATTATAGAATATAAAATTCTTGATAATCTCTAATAGTGAACTGTGTAGAACAAGATCAGATTGCTTATCAATTTATATTGTTTTATTTATAATCCAGGTGATGTGGCAACTGTTGCAAGTATGACAAACAGTCTATTGATGCAGATATTAACAAAGATAAAGACAGTGCAAGAAGATACTGCCATACAGAATGGTCGTCTGTCCGTCTTTGTTCACAAACGGGATGACCAGTTTTCACATGAAGTTATACAGCCTTTACTGAGGTAAGTGTGTGCTTGTATACATTTATTTATTACTGAAGTGTATTCTGGGGGGAGCATTTGGTAGTGATTTCATTGTTTTGAAAGATAGATACTGATACAGATGTGTCTGGTTTTCTTAACATACAAAATGTAAACAACCATATCATAAAATCTTGGTCTTTAACCCTTAAATTCACTGTGTATATCCAGTTACGCTTGAATGTGAAAAAAACGCACGATTCATGCAATAAGTAACTCGGAATCGTGCAACAAATGGCGGATAATTACGCTGTAAGTAAACTGGCCAATATACTTCTTATTTATCGAACTGAAAAAAAAGAATACCTGCATACGGCTGCGAAGATCCCTCATTAAGGTTATTTCCACGATTATTGACCAGCATTTTGAGTGAGATTTTGGAATTTTTGTACCTATAAGAATCGACAAAAAGCCAAAATCTTGCTCAAAAGGGTGGTCAAGCCAAATGATCTTGAAAGTAAACAATTTCGTGGAAATAATCTTGATGAGGGATAAAGAGTATTGTTTGCGCAGCCTTACGCGGCTATTCCTTATTTTCAGTTCGGTTAAATAATAAATATAATGGCCAGTATACTTGCCACGTTGGAAATCCTGTCAGGTATCCACCATTAATTGCACAATTCTGCATTACTTATTGCTCATTCCATTTTCGAGTTTGGGGATATTATTATGAAAATGTACAGTTAGTCATGCTGCCTGGTCAAACTGCAAGGATTTTATTTGATTACTGTAAAAAAATGTGATAATTATATATTATAAGTATGTATTTTTATGCTCCCCGAAAAATTTCAGGGGAGCATATAGTCGGCGCCTTGTCCGTCCGTCCGTCCGTCTGTCCGTCCATTGTCTTGTCCGGAGCATAACTTGAAAACCCTTGGAGCTAATTTGTTTAAACTTCATACAGTGGTAGAGGGCATTGAGGTGGAGTGCAGTGTCAAAGAACCATAACTCTATTTTGCCGGGTTTTTGAATTATCTCCACTGATAGAAAAATCTTGTCCGGGACATAACTCTTAAAACTATAAGAGATTATCAACATGAAACTTTGTAGGGAATAGATTCTCAATGGGTTAGATGTGCAGTGCATAAGAACAATAACTTCCTTTTGTCCTTATTTTTGAGTTATTGCCCTTTGTTAATTTTAAAACACTTTGAACTTTGTCCGGAACATAACTCTAAAAACTATAAAGAGATATCAAAATGAAACATTGTAGGTAGATAGATTTCATTAAGTAGAAGTGCAGTGCAAAAGAACCATAACTCTGTTAAGCCTCATTTTTGAATTATTTCCCCTTTTTAAAAAAAAAAATCTTGTCCAGGGGTAGCTGTAAAAAATTATAAGAGATATCAACATGGAAACTTTGTAGGTAGATTATATCTCAAATGGGTAGATGTGCGTGCACAAAGGAATCATAACTCTGGCATTGCCTGATTTTCTGGAGTTTATTCCCTTTGTTTATTTTTACTTTTTGAAGTTTGTCCTGGACATAACTCAGAAAACCATAAGATGATATCAACAAGAAACTTTGTAGGGGTTGCATATATCACATTGATTACAAGTGCAGTGCTAAGAACAGTAACTCTTCCTTGCCTAATTTTGGAATTATTGCACTTTGAACTTTTTCCACGGACATAACTCTGAAACTACAAGAGGTGTACTTTCCTGTGTCCAAACAGGGTTTTTTTCCTTCTATTCACAATTCAAAATTGCACTTTTTTTTTCACAAAGTGGCAGAAAAAAATTCACAATTTCAAAAGAAATTTCACAAAATATTGGGACTTTGTCTTTGAAATGCATTGTTTACCCTCCAGTTAATCATGATTTACGCATATTTCAAGAACACAGAAATTGTTTTAATCAATTTAAATGGTTTAAGCACATGTAAAGCGGGTTAAAGTACGGACTTGAAGACATTTTCCGGTTTCATAATGTCACTAAATGCCAAATAATATGTATTTTTTTTCCACAATTTTATGACAAATCACGCTTTTTTCAGAAAATGAACAGGTCCAGGCCCCTTCACAATTTTGACAAAAAATGCCCTGCCAAAACCTAGTGGGGGAGCATCACCCGGCTCAAACCGGACTCTTGTAGTATACTTTGTTTTTATCTGTTGTATAATATAAATGTTATATTAGTTTTTGAAAAGTTGTATGTATATTAATGCTTCAGTATAATTGTGTATGTATTTTTAGCTCTGACAGTCGACCATTTAAGCTAGGTCCTGGTTCTAATGTCGATAAAGTTGTGAGACTGGACAGGGAAATGACAAAGGTAGGTTTTAATAATTGGATTGTTAAAGCTGTATTTAATTGTAGTAAAAATTGATTTTACCAAGGTTGTTTCAATGAAGCTCAGTAGCAAAGAAAGTGGAGAGACTTACTATTAGTATTAAACAAAAACAATATTCTGTAAATTACTGTTTTAACCTATTGATAAAACTCAATCTTCAAGCTAGTTTGAAGCTTATTGAACATCTCGCATTTTGCATTTTGGACCTTAACAGCATTGGTGTCATATTTGAAAACAAGCTTGTGAGACTAGTGGGGTCAGGTCGTTTTGTTGGGGTTTCTTTGTACTCATTTAAAGCACTAGGCAAAGCAACCAATCCTTTTGCATATACCACCTGTACCTCTTTTCACTACACCAAACATCCATTTAAAGTAGAGACCTTAAATCCAAAGTCTTTTGCAGGATTTGAACCCAAAGACAGAGGGACAAGTGGTTTAAAGTCAACAATCTAAACCACTCGGCCATGGACCTCCTAACCCCTACTTATTCTACCACTCCCTTTGTTTGGTCTGTGGAATTCTGATGTGATTTATAGTCATGGTCCTTTGTTTTACCTAATTATTCCCTAATTTTCTGTCCTAAAAACAGAGTAACAAAGCCGAGGTTGTGACAGAGGATGCCCTATCTGCTCTTAGGAAGGCTGCGAAATGGGCTCAGATGGGGCTTGTTGTATCTACGGGTGCCCCTGTAGACTCTTCTCCCACAGAAGTCACCTCAGGTGACAAAAAGAAAACAGATAAAGAAGTTATTTGTAAAGATAAAAATGCTGAGCTTGCAAGGTATTGTAGTTACTGTAATTGGGAACTCTTTATTGTGTAGAATATATTACAAGTTTTATGGAATGCTTGGTTAAGTATTGTTATTCTTGCCAGGAAGTAAGTGAAATAATGTTACCAGTATCATACAGATATACTAATGCAAATTCACACCAATACAGTGAATGCATTAACAATTGTCATACTGCAAAACTATTATTATTCAGGATCACTAATTTTTGTGGGTTTTTTTTTTTGCAGATATGTCAATCACAAATTAAGATCCAAATGAATATGTTTTTAGACAAAAAAACAAAATTTCTCCACAATTTTATAATTCCTTATTTTAAAATCTTTTTGTAAAAAAAATTTTTGTAAAAAAGAAATAAATCAAATTCCGTGTTTAAAATGAGAATAAAAAAAGGGCAGGTATTTGATACAACTATAAACCAATCTTTACCTAAGTTTTGTGAAATTCAGCATTTAGTGAGAAGTTTTATAATTTATTAAATTTAATTGAATGCCTAGCTTTTCATTCATACATTTCTTTGTTTCTATGTAATGTGTTTCTATTTATAGGACAGACCCTGTGCGACCTTTTATAAGTGGTCATGTAGCCAACAGTATGGCAGCTGAAGTGATTGAACTATTACATGGTCTGTTAAACAGTACTAACCATCACACAGCCTCGGAGAAATCCTGGTCAGATGCTGTACAACGGGTGAGAACAACCTTTATAAATGAGAGCTGTTGGTCTGTACTTGTGTATCATCACCTTAGTGCGATAATGGGTTAAGTCCTTCTAAATTTAATAGGAGTTAACCAGTTTTTGCACAAAGGTGATGATATGTAAAGTAAATGATATGTTACAGGTATTATCAGTACCAAGGACATTTATATTGGATAAATTTTTATCACATACCCATACTGCTTTTGCGACTTCTTAAAGACACGCTAAATGGTAGCATTACATTTTAAGTATGTCAATGAAAAGGTGATTTTTTTTTATTTAGATATGTTAAGAATATAATATAATATTCATGTAGCTTCATAAAGAAATTTAATGAACATGTTAAATAATATGATAATATGCTCACTAAATAAAATCTTATTCAACTCATTAAATAAATTCAGAATGGAACCTGCCCTCTATATATTACTATGTTATAAGTTTTGATTTGAATAATTGGACTGAGAAAATCACTGTGAGAAGAAATGCTAGAATATTTCGTAAATTGTTATCAGAACTCTAACTTAATAACTAAACATCTGTTTTTCTTGTTTTGATAAACTCTTTAATGTTTTAAAGTTAAAATCAATGATATAACAGACTGACTTGTAACATTCCCCATTTTACAGGTTAGCCAATGCGATGACTGGTTAACCAGTTACAATTCCCATTTTTCAGGTGTTAACTAATGCAATGACTGGTTAACCAGTTGCATTTCCCATTTTTCAGGTGTTAACCAATGCAATGACTGGTTAACCAGTTGCATTTCCCATTTTCAGTGTTAACCAAATGCATTGACTGGTTAACAACTTAACCAAATGCATTGACTTGTTAACCAGTTACATTATCCATTTTTCAGGTGTTAACTAATGCAATGACTGGTTTACCAGTTTTGTTGAACTCAATAGACAGTCTAAGTTCTCCTCGATGTCACAGTCACCAGTTGATGTCAATGGCCCGACAAGTTAATGCAGCTCTGTGTGCGTTAGGTGGTTTCCAGGAAATGATAAAACCAGGCTGCAAAGTAGAGGTGAGTGTTTTACTTTACTGAAGATACACCTATAGTCTTGTTTGATCACATGATTCACAGCATCTGAAAGTTACAATGTACAAGTTGTAAAGTGCTTTAAATGCACTTTATAGTCTTTTATAAAGGTCCAGTTGTTAATGAATATTCATTTAAATTGGACCTCTGTGACCAAGTAGTTATGAACGCTGACAAATAATTAACTGCTACTCAGCACTGTAAGCTAGTATCCTGGCATGGATGTTGATTTCTTGCATGTGTAGAATATGTCCTCTTATCATATGGAAGGTCAGTGGGTCTACTGAGGACCTGTCATTGCCTGAACTATTATTATATGGAGGGATATCAGAAGTTTTGTCCGTCTTTAGAAGAGGAGAGTTGTCATTTGATGTTAACAGTATCTTTGTGACTTCAATGTAATCTGTAAATGAAATTAAGTATGTTATTGTAGTTGTGCCTTCTATTTATAGTGCTATTTATTGACACCTTGCAGGTCTATTTATAGTGCGTAAATTGAGGTCTTGATCGTCTATTTATAGTGCATAAATTGAGACCTTGCTCGTCTTTTTATAGTGCTTAAAATTGAGACCTTGCAGGTCTATTTATAGTGCATAAATTGAGACCTTGCTCGTCTTTTTATAGTGCGTAAATTGAGACCTTGCTCGTCTTTTTATTGTGCTTAAAATTGAGACCTTGCAGGTTTATTTATAGTCCTTTTGATTGACACCTTGCTTGTATGTTTAGGTGACTGGTGAGGTAGAGAACTCCACAGGAATAGTGGTCAGTATGTCTCAGCAGACTGGAATGGTCTCTATTGAATTAGATCCAGACCCTGAGGGTACATATACCCCAAGGTACTCCGACACTGTCCAGGTGCCATTTAGTAGAGTACAGCCATGTAGAAATAGAGTAAGTAATTTTTATTATGTATCATATAGTGTTACCCTGTTCCTTCATTCCGTCATTCTGTCATTCCGTCATCATCAGTTTCCTTTCATTATCTTAGTAACTGTTGCACACATTCAACTCAAATTTTACATATTGATATATCATGAGAAAATACAGGTCAAGTTTGAATTTGGTCATGGTCTGATGAATTTTGGCAGAGTTATGCCCCTTGATGGAATTTTCAGTTTCTGTTCATTATCTGCCACTCAACTCAAATTTGACATATGGATACATCAAATGAATGCGCAGGTCAAGTTCTAATTTGGTTATGGTTTGATGATTTTTGGCAGAGTTATGCCCCTTTCACTTTGAAAATAATATGAAATTTTCAGTTTCCGTTTATTATCTTGCCAACGGTATCAGATTTGCCATATTGATACCTCAAAGGAATGCGCAGGTCAAAGTTGAATTTGGTTATGGTTCGATGATTTTTGGCAGAGTTATGCCCCTTTCACTTTGAAAATAATATGAAATTTTCAGTTTCCATTCATTATCTCCCCAACGGTATTACATATTTAACTCAAATTTGACATATGGATACGTCAAAGGAATGTGCAAGTCAAGCTTGAATTTGGTCATGGTTTGATGATTTTTGGCATTATTATATGAGCCGTGTCACGATGAAACCAACATAATGCGTTTGCGACCAGCATGGATCCAGTCCAGCCTGCGCATCCGCGCAGTCTGATCAGGATCCATGCAGTTTGCTTACAAACCCTATTACAAGTAGAGAAACTGATAGCGAACAGCATGGATCCTGATCAGACTGCGCGGAGGCTGGTCTGGATCCATGCTGGTCGCAAACCCACTATGTTGGTTTTGTCGTGACGCGGCTCATATTATAAAATTTGACATATACATACATCTTAGGAATAAGCAGTTCAAGGTCGAATTTGGTCATGGTTCAGTGATTTTGGACAATGTTATCTCTCTTGAATGTTGAGAAAAGTTTGAATGTTTTAGATCCGCATGTAGTCATTATTTTGGCAACAAATCTGCAATATGCAATTTACAAAAGGTTAACACTGAAAAGTCTCGGTACCTTGAACTTTGTATAAAAATGGTTTGTGTTTACATTGAATAGTTTTAAGGGCTTTGAACTTAAAATAAAAACAAATTTGGAACTATTGTAACATCTGAAATTTTGGCTGCGTGCGGGGGCATCCGTTGTGTGACGACACATTTCTAGTATTAAAAGAGTTTTCTTGTTCACTTAATACATTTCAACAAAACAATCTTTTGCTTTTTAACCAGGTTTTCAACGAAGTCGGCGGCGGGCGGGTGGGGCAGGCGGGCGGGCGTCAACTTTTGGTTTCCGCTCAATAACTTTAGTTTGCTTTGGCCTATTGACACCAAACTTGGTGTGTAGGTAGCTTATATCAAGAGACAGCTTGGGATTGCTACCCAGGTGTCTGTGATCAAGGTCAAGGTCACTGTTACTAAAAATAGAAATTCAGTTTCCGCTCAATAATTTGAGTTTGCTTTGGCCTATTGACACCAAACTTGGTGTATGGATAGCTTATATCAAGAGGCAGCTTGGGATTGCTACCCAGGTGTCTGTGATCAAGGTCAAGGTCACTGTTACTAAAAATAGAAATTCAGTTTCCGCTCAATAACTTTAGTTTGCTTTGGCCTATTGGCACCAAACTTGGTGTGTAGGTAGCTTATATCAAGAGGCAGCTTGGGATTGCTACCCAGGTGTCTGTGATCAAGGTCAAGGTCACTGTTACTAAAAATAGAAATTCAGTTTCCGCTCAATTACTTGAGTTTGCTTTGGCCTATTGACACCAAACTTGGTGTATTGATTGCTTATATCAAGAGGCAGCTTGGGATTGCTACCCAGATGTCTGTGACCAAGGTCAAGGTCACTGTTACTAAAAATAGAAATTCAGTTTCCGCTCAATAACTTGAGTTTGCTTTGGCCTATTGACACCAAACTTGGTGTATATATAGCTTATATTAAGAGGCAGCTTGGGATTGCTTCCCAGGTGTTAGTGATCAAGGTCAAGGTCACTGTTACTAAAAATAGAAATTCAGTTTCCGCTCAATAACTTGAGTTTGCTTTGGCCTATTGACACCAAACTTGGTGTATGGATAGCTTATATCAAGAGGCAGCTTGAGATTGCTATCCAGGTCTCTATAACAAGGTCAAGGTCACTGTTACTAAAAATAGAAATTCAGTTTCCACACAATAACTTGAGTTTGCTTTGTCCTATTGACACCAAACTTGGTGTATGGATAGCTTATATCAAGAGGCAGCTTGGGACTGCTACCCAGGTGTCTGTTATCAAGGTCAAGGTCTCTGTTTGTTACTAAAAATAGAAATTCAGTTTCTGCGCAATAACTAGTTTGCTTTGGCCTATTGACACCAAACTTGATGAATGGGTAGCTTATATCAAAAGGCAGCTTGGGATTGCTACCCAGGTGTCTCTGATCAAGATTAATGTATTTAGTTTTCATGTTATAACTTGAGTTTGCTTTGACCTTTTGACACCAAATTTGCTGAGTGGCACCTTTGGATTGCCACTTAGATATCCGGGAGCAAGTTCAAGGTCATTTGCTTACAATAGAATTTTCAGCTTCTACTCAATTACTTCAGTGCACTTTGATCTATTGATTGCTGTTACATCAAAACTTGGTCGTTGAAAACCTGGTTTTCGTCGCATTGCGGTGCTTCTTGTTTCCTCTATGTAGTAAAAGTTACAATTTTAAGCTTGACTATACAAAGTATATGGAGAGCTGTCCTACTCGCCCCGGCCTCAGCATCCAGATTTCAGATTAAAGTTTTGGTGCAGTAAAATATTTTTAACTTTAACTTTTTCATTTCTTAAAGTATCAACTTCAAACTTCAAGTACATAATAATAAAAAATTGTCCTTATTATTAACAACATCTTATGTGACAAGGTTCATAACTCTAGCACCAATATTTTCAGATTTATCTCCCTTTGAACTTAGAATTTTCCTTAAAAAATATTATTTTTGGTGGGATTTCAACCAAACTTTACAGGAGTGATCAGAACCATCCTTAGTAGTGCAAGTCACTTGCACGTTCCGCTTCCCTGCACGAAATGGCCGCCAGAGCTAAAAATAGAAAGATATTGTCCAGTGAGCTAAAAATAGAAAAATATTGTCCAGCCTTCACAGGTCAAACAACTGGTGGGATTTTAACCAAACTTTACAGGAGTGATCTGTACCATCCCTAGTTGTGCACATCACTGGCACATTCCGCTTCCCTGCACAAAATGGCTGCCAGAGTTAAAAATAGAAAAATCTTGTCCAGCCTTCAAAGGTCAAAATACTGGTGGGATTTCAGCCAAACTTCAGTACCATCCCAAGTTGTGCATATCCGAGAACGTTCTGCTTCGAATATTTAATGGATGGACGATCACCAAACTTGGTCTGTAGCATTGGTCTGTAGCATTCTTAAAGTTTGTTTTTTTTATCAAGTTTGCTCAAATTAATTTTATTTGCCCCATTTAAAGGACCGCTTGAGCTGAAAATAGAAAAAATCAAGTAGCGCGAGTTGATACGCTTTACTTACCAGATGAACAGTAACTATGAACTTGGGACATTTGTGAAATGTTCCTATCATTTTTACTTTGAAGAAATAAACAGTGTCGGGAAACTTTATAACTAGAGAGGCAAGTTGAAATTGAGCTGAACTTGTCTTTCTACAAGTTTATTTGAAAAATTTAGTTCTATAGTCACTAAAAAACAGTCGTTTCTGGTGAGCAATTCAGGGCCATCATGTCGTTCTTGTATGAACTTGACTTTATACATTCTGGGGTTAAGGCAATGGCTAAAGAGGATTTATCAATAGACTTTTATTTTATTCATGCACAGAAGTATAAAAAAAAGCCATTAAATGAAAATGAATATCACACTAGTGTAACCACAATTTAACATGATCAATAACGTCATCAGTCTTCAAGTTTCCGGCTTAAACATATCAATTAGCAAGTGCTCGGCCTAGTTTTGGGCCAACCTATCAACGGTATCCACAAACATCGACGGTCGCTGTCGTCAATATGTTTTAACATAAGAGACTATTCCATTGTTATGTAGGAAAATTTTACTTTTAAAAAGATAACATACATGTACACTTGGAAATTATGTCCAAAGATATAAAAGTATTGAAATAAACCCTTATCCATTGCTTAAATTAGAGTTAGATATGAAGTAAATTTAAGTAATCAGCAGTCTCTTTTCCACATTTTTTCGAGACTGGAGACCATTGAAGATGGTAGACTGTCAATTTACAGGCTCTTCAACATAACAAATTTTACATGACTGTTAATGTTTTATTCTGTCCTTAAATAATATTCAAGAGCACACAGCTGTCAAATTATAGGCAGAGCACACAAATTTGATTGTTTGATGAAGTTATGCAAACATTGACATTTTTGTAGTTGAGGATTCGTCCCTTTTGAATTGGGATTTAACAGATCTATTAGCACATGACCCAGGTACTCGGTAGGGGAAATAGCTAGTTCTGATCATTGTGTTATATAAACATCAAAATAGAATGACTTTTTTACTGTATACTATTCTTATTTTGGGTATGTAATAAATAAAAATCAATCATCTGTATTAAACTGGTAAATTGAAACAGTATTATGCTGGCCAATACTTTTTATATTGTTCAAATAATTTGGTAGTTTTTCTTGTATTATAACAAAAAAAAACCCAATAAAACCAGATGCATTCAAAATTGGGAACTCTGAAAGAAATTAATACCTATAATAAATAAAACATGTTATACTCCTTGCATACATTTTGAGAGTAAGGCATATATAAAAAAAACAAACAAACAAACAAAAAAACAAACAAAAAACATGTTTATTTTTCTTTTGTGAATCATTTGTTTTACTGATTAGATGTCATACACTTCAATGCTGTTATCTATAAATCTACTTATAAACATCTTTGTCATTTGTTGATTACAACAGACTGACACAAT